ATAATTCGAGTAAATTGTTTATATTATCATCGTTACTAAGATGGTTTGAAGAAATTAATGCAATACATACTGAGGAAATTATTTTGGCCAGACGGGCAACCCATGTAAAATTAGCACGGCACTCAACGTGTTAATAAAATAAATAAATTAGATAATTTCTCAGCTCAAATCAGCGGTATTCCAAAATAATGATATTAACTAATTCTGCTGAGTTTTTGAAGTGAATATTTGTCTTAATTATTTATAGATGTATTGTAAAAAAAAAGGTCTCATGGTTGCTAGATTTAAGAACTCTCTTTTTTGGCAGTTCCGATTCGGCTCTTTTTACTTGTTTATTACTGTTTGCTCTTGCAAGCCGTGCACCATCACACGTTAATATTAGCATATTATTCGAGCAGCCAAATTAAGTTCATTCTACAAATTATCATTTGGTTTAAATTTTGAAGTTGATTTTATTGTTGACAAGGTAAGAAATGTTCTTACGTCTCTTACGATTCTTACGTCTTGAAAAGAAAGGTCTTCAAATAATGATTCTTGTAACGTTTTTTTTCTTTCCTTTTTAAGCACAAATAATAAACCGGGCAACAAATGCACATATACTAGAAATACATCTCAATTGAGATGTATTCGATGAGAAACCACAATAACTTTGTGAGGCAAATGGCACGAAAATAAACTGGAAACAATAACCCGGAAATAAAGGCAGTAAAGAGATAGCAGGGCACCCGAGAGTAGAAACACCATTCATATCAAACCTTAAAAAAGGTTTTGTTTATTGAAATTTTTATTCCTATTTTTCAGAAAATAAATGAGTAACAAAACAATACAATATAATAGATTTGAAAAAAAGATTTCTTAGCCTCACGTTTTGCACTTTTGACCAAAGTAACACATACACCACCATACTAACTTGGATCCTAGCCAAAAGGCCGATAAACAATAAACCAAGGTAACGCAAAAAATTCGTTGTCTATATACATCTATAGATAAATTAAGTACATAAATATAAAAATTTGGTACCCTAGGTGCGCCTTTCAACATGATCATGTGGGATGCAGACAAGAAACTTTAAACCTTCCAAAAAGGAAGAATCCTTTTTTCTGAATTTCAATTTAAAATTTCAAAATATTTATATTTCTTTAAAAACAAAAGAACATTGTGAAATCTTTTAAAGGTAGAATAGAAAGGAAATAAAAAAATTTATATAAAATTTTGCTCGTTGAAAATAAAAATAATCTAAAACGGGATATTTGATAAATAATCAAAATAACAAAACTAACTAGAACATTAAGTCTGTTCCCACATCCTATCGTAAGGTTAACAAAAGCGGACAGACACATCGAAATTTTAATTGTTTACCTTCAGTCAGCCATCCATAATTAAACAAAGTAAAGCATTCTCGTAACAGTCAGTTGTCAGATAAAGAAAGGGATTCACGGAGAAAAAAAGTAATATCTTTCACTTTCATTCTCAGTTAAAGTCTACTGTCTTGTTGCTAGCCTGCAAAGAGTTAAAGTTTTAATAGCATGTACAGATCCCCCCTCCCCGAAAAAAAAACGAACGAACCACCTTGAATAACTTCTGATCTAATATGATCTTCACGTTCTCAACTTAATTGTTAAGGAAGTGATCTCAAATATGCTAATTAATTAGCGGAGACAGTAGTTTAAGTTACGAAATCAGACACAAAAGCGTAACTTCTCTGAATAAACATACCCTTTTTTTCGGTGGATTCGGATATCTGACCCCCCAAAATAAAGGGGGCAGCCGCAATTTGAGAAACATGACCTTCCATAGTTTAATCAGGAGAGCCATCCAAAATTTGGAAACCATAATATTAATTTTACTTTTTGCGTATTTCGCCATCACATCATGAGAACTTTTTAAGAGAATTGAAAAACTTTTGCACTCAGTTATTGGCGATCGAAATGGGTTACAGGTGGCGTAGAGCAGAACTCTCTACCTATGGCAACACACATGCTTTCACCATTAGCGTGTGGAGAGTCATAGACGAAGGAAGTCTGTAGTTTCAGTCTTGATTTTCATATCGTTCACAATATTTTAAGTTGGGAAACTATATGGAACTGAAAACTACATTAAACATATTTCTTAAACAAAGCATCATGGAAATTTTAAAAAATATTTTTATTACCTAAAAACGAAAAATATTAAGCAAAGGAAAAATATCATAGTACATTCCTATACAACTCAAAAGAGGAGGAGAGGGAAGGGCCAAAGGCACGGAACAGGTCTTCTCCCCAGATGGCGTATTCGAGCATTGTGATTTGTTTATCCAGAAATAACTTCAAGCAAAAAATAAATTTTAGTGAAAATTTTTTTTAAATGTAATTTCATTGAATAAGAGTCGAAAATTTTTTTGAATTGAAAGCCATAAAATGTCTTATTGGCCATAGAAATGGGCTGCAGGTGGCGTAGAGCAGAACTCTTTACCTATGACAACACTTCACATGCTTTCCCCATTAGCGCCTGGAGAGTCATGGAGGATGGAAGTACGTTAGTTTCTCTCTTAATCTTCATATAGATTAAAATATTTTAAGTTGGAAAACTACATGGAACTGAAAACTACATTAAACAAAAGCATCACGGAAATTAAAAAAAATATTTTTATTTAATAAAAAGACAAAATATTAAGAAAAGGGAAAATATTGTAGCGATCGCCAATTTTAAAGCAGCAATTGAAAGTATGTAATTTTACATGGCAAAATACAAAATTTTATCGAATTTGGTCAAATAGTTCCAGAGAAATCGAATTTTAAATATAGATTTAATTCAAATTTTGTATTTTGCCATGTAAAATTACATACTTTAAAATGATGAAAGAAACTGTATACCTTACAATTCAAAATTTTTTCGACTCTAATTTCATAAAATAATATAAATATTTACTAAAATGTATTTTTTGCATGGGATTGCCTTTAGATAAACAAATTTTATAATTGCAAAATTTTTTAATTCACTTTAAAAGTTCTCGAAATAGGGCAAAATACATAAAAAGTAAAATTAACATTAAGGGGTCCAAACTTTAGAAAACTCTCCTGACCAAATTATGGAGACTTCTGAATAAGTAAAAAAAAGGCATGTATATTTAGGGAAAATACGTTTTTGTGTCTGGTTTTGTAACTTAAATTATCGTCTGCACTAATTAATTAGCATATTTGAGGTCACACTTTTGAACCATTATGATTAAGTCCTAGAACATAAAGATCCGATCATAAGATCAAACGTAATTTAGGGCGGTTATTTCTTTTCTTTTCTGTGCACTGTACATTTTATTCTATTTTAGCTATAGGCAGACTTAGATAAAATAAATACACAAAATCACAAAAAAACTTTCTGCATATCTTAATAAACTCTCTAACTAATATCAACCCTTTTGTCACCTCATTTTGGCAAAATTTGTTTAAAAATCCTCAATTTTTTTCAAAAAAGTTCCATTTTTATAGAACTTGATATTGATTCATTCCACGGGGATGAGTTTGGTAATATGCATAAACACTTTTGAAATAATTGAAAAAGTACCTGAAATTTGAGCAAGAAAAAAAATGTATAGAAGTATTTATCCACAGAATGTGGCGATCATTAATGTCATCAGCTTCCGCGCAATCTGGAAGAGAGGAAAGGACGACAGAGGAGGAAAGATGGTGGGAAGAGGGGAAAGATGAGATGAGATATAAAGAACAGCATGGGCGAAGACTTCACAAAAACTTTGCGTTTTTTTTGGATACATCCTTCTTTCTTTTTTGAATTACAAAACATTAATTATAAAAATAAACAAGCTTATGAAGGGTTCAAATAAAAGACACAATATTTGTGAAAGGTCCCTTAAACGGACCCAAATTTCTTCTAAACAGACCTCTGAAGAATTAATATATATTTACTTTGCACCAGGTTACCAGGTGGACCAGAGTTAAAACTTTTGGTGACTCCCATAACCAGATATATAACGTTCAATAAATTATGCATATCAAATCTATTCTCTAGAGCTTATATGTAACATAAAATCAGTTAAAATCTTTTCTGCAATGAATGAAATAATATTGAATTGATCATCTTAGAAAATTTGACGAATTCATTGTGGTATAAGAAACTCATATGTCCTACATTAGTGAGGCCTAATGGTCTTAGTGAGGTATTGTCCAGAAAGATATAAAATCCCTTTCTAAAACTGAATGCCTTTTCTTCTTAGTCTAAACAGCAACATGTAGGCATCACATGTTTAAAAAGACTAGCCTGACTCCTTTTTGCATTTAATAAAATAATTACTATCCTTGTGGTTTCTACAATTACCGGCTATAAAATCACAATGTTAATATTAATGTTTTCAAAGCTCAACATATAAATACTTATCTATTTTTAAGAAACCCTGTTTGAAGATTAAAAACCCATACACATCAATAATCTTTTTTTCTGTATAACTCTCTCATAAATAATGCATTTTATTAAATATTCCTTTTTTATATGATTTTTCGATATTCAGGTGTTTTTTTGTTAATGAATTACCCTATTCTCTGAGAATCACACAAATTGCATAAACAAGATTTTCCTTCAGTATAATCAATAGAATGCATTTAAAGAGATTTCTGTCTGAACATATTAACACAACACACTATAGTGTGGCTTTCAGCAGAAGTCCTCCAGGCATCAGTTTCGCATCGTGGTGGTTACTATGGTTATGAGGAAAAGTCACTTCGAAGAGGGGCGTGGGGTTAAAAGTTTTGTCTCAATTTTGGCATAGGTCAGAGCGAGTAAAGCAATTCACACCTTAATTCCTCCACTGCAGCCCCATTAGAAATGCGCTCTCGCTTGTTATCATAGCAGCAGACAGTCCCAGACTTTTAGTCCGAAGGAGTTCTCCTCAAAGCCACACTATACATCTATAAGATTTCTCCTCAGTAAAAACAAGTTTATAAAAACTGCATTTATAGTCATAAGATTTGTATATATAAGGCATATATTGTAGATATAAGGTTTCCCTCAAGTATGATAAAAAGAAAGTTTATTTAAGCTAAAATTTAGCAAAAGATATATCACATTACACTATTAAGGTTTTTCTCCAGTATGAAGTATAAAATGTTCATTTGAAATTTGTCCATGTGGGAATATTTTATCTCCACTAAGAATAAGAATACATTATGCACGATAGATTTACAACATACACTACATGAATGAAGACAATATGATTACAATAGTGTCCATTAAATAGGTTTTCTGTGAATATGCTTGACTGATTAAATATGGCTAATCTAAAGTATAAACAAAATAGCATTTATTAAAATTTCTTTTGTATGCAAAAGTTTTATAACCTAACTACGTTACTAAGGCTCTTCTCCAGAATGAATAAAATAGTGTTTCTTCAAATTAGCTTTCTGTGAAAATTTTTTATCACATACATTACAAGAAAAAGGTTTTTCTCCAGTATGAACAAGAAAATGTTTATTTAAATTAAATTTTTGTTTAAAAGATTTATTACATATACTGCATAAATTAGGTTTTTGGCCACTATCAACAAAGAGGTGTCGGTTTGAGTTTCTTTCTTGAGCGAAAGGTTTATTATACTCACTGCATGAATACGGCTTGTCTGCATTATGAACAATAGAGTGTTTATTTAAATGACCTTTCTGTGAGAATGTTTTATAGCACAAACTGCATGAATATGGTTTTTCTCCACTATGAACAAGATGGTGTTGTTTTAAATTAGCTTTACGTGCAAAAGATTTAGAACAAACACTGCATGAATAAGGTTTCTCTCCAGTATGAACAAATGAATGATTCTGTAAATTACATTTATGTGCGAATGTTTTGTTACATACATTGCATGAATAAGACTTCTCTCCTGTATGAATGAGAGAATGTTTCTCTAAAGTAACTTTCTGTTTGAATGTCTTAAAACATACACTGCAAGAATGAAGTTTCTCCCCAGTGTGAACAAGTGCATGTTTTTTTAAATTAGCTTTCTGTGAGAATGTTTTATCACATACATTGCACGAATAGGGTTTTTCACCTGTATGAATAAGAGAGTGTTCATTTAAATGACCTTTTTGTGTGAATGCTTTATCACACACACTACATGAATAAGGTTTTTCTCCAGCATGAACAAGATAGTGATGCTTCAAACTGCTTTTATTCCTGAAAAATTTATTACAAATAAAACATGAATTTGGTTTTCCTTCAATATGAAGAGTTTGTTTCTCTAAATTGCACTTATCTGTGTAAATTTCTTCACCCATATTTCGTAAATAAACGTTTAATGTCAAATTCAATCTTAATATTGTCAATGGCTAATATTATAAAATTTCAAGAGACCTCTTAGATTAGAAATTCAGAAACAGATATCTTATATAATAATGACTAACTTTCCCACATTACGAGATGTATCTTCTTATTAATCAACCAGGAATTGAATACGATTGATTGTTACTGTTTAAATAATTTTAAGATTTCCGGTTGCCTACTTTTGTTTATCCTCAAACACAGGAAACAGAAAAAGAAGCGAACAATAATTTGTTTTGGTAGTGTATAGCGTGAGGATGCCTGTGAATCCTCAGGAAACAGGATGATCCCTCAAGGCATGTTTTCAAGCATGCGCAGTATACTAATCATNACCCAAATAAAAAATGTGCTGATCAACCATCATAGATTATTTTATAAAGTAAACATGCAAATGCCAACTTGTTAAATATATTATGCGTTAGCAGTTTTGGATCCCTCATGAGACCTTTCATACTGTATGTGATTCCACGGTAAAGTACACATTGATTGTCCTCCGTATGCAGGTGAGAATTTTGAAACTACACACAAGAAGAACAACTTGTGATGGCGCAAGTTACATTTGCGTGCAACCACATGCAGCGAGAATACTTCCTCATAAGACAATGATATGGGCCATTCTTACTGCATGTGATTTACGCAACTTCAATCGTTAACGAGGGAGAATGAGAACATGATTTGTGAAATATATTTTCCAGCGAAAAACTTTCGAATTAAGTTCTCAGTGGACTGATTGTTAAGACGCGATTCCTAGTAAACCACAGAAGTCAAGCATCACTAGTAGAGGTCAGTGTGCGGGTTGACCACGTGGATCAATCTAAGAAGGGACCAAGGGTGTGCGGTATTGGTCCTCGTTAAACTGTTCTATCATAGAGTGCTCGATTTCACTAGCAGGTCGCCGGGCTATTAAAGCGGGGATACCGTCCCCTCTGCAGAGGATTAAAATTGTAATGGTCTTCGGATGTTTCCTAGAAGACCAGTCACGAATAGCCCATTGAGCAGCTCTAGTGCAACGTAAATAAACAACCTTTTCCCTCAACGGCAATGAGACTCTTGCATGTTATTTCAAAACATTCATACGCGTGTTCAGAGCGTACGTCCCTGGAGCATTCGCATATGTTATCACACGTTAATGCCATTTGCGCATGACCGAACAGTTCTCCGTACATGTAGTTTCTAAACGTATGTTCGTGCTTCTGAGCAATTGGATGCAGTGTGATCATCCCTTGAAACAGCGTAAATATTTTTTACCACTTTCACTTTTAATAAAAAAAAACCTATGGATATATTTAAAATTTGTATGATTAGTTGAAGCGTTGCACTTCACACTAATGAGCTATTGGCTACAGTTTGGGATAAACTAAAGGAAGATAGCGGTTCCAATCACTATTCCATGCTCACCTGACTATTCTAGCTACGAAAGGCTATTCTCTCAGGATTTCGCCATTCTTATTGCTTTCCAGTGAGAAGATATTTGATAATGATCAATAGAAAAGTTTTTTTTTTTGTTTGAAATATTATAAAATGCTCAACTCCGGTCCAAGTTGTTGTTGGTCAAAACTAAATACGACAAACTCTCTGGAAAGACATTTTCATGACCTAGAATCTGATTTAGGCAACATTGTCTTATCAGTACCTCATGTTAATTGAATTCGTCGAGTGCAGTTCTTGTATTTTGCAATAAATTTAATCTATTTTCTTGTATAGTGGTTAGCTTGAAGGTGGATATGAGTTAAATCCTTTCTTCAGTTTATTACAAGCACAATCAGTGATTTTTTCCCTTCACAAATTTCCCGCATGCTGTTGCTCGGTTGTCACCCAACTATTTGTAGCGTGGCTTCAAATCTATTATTAAAATTTTTTAATAAAGATCAATCACGGATTAAAAAATTTTCCATCCATATGTTAGGGAACTATAATAGACATTGGAATTAATTAGGCCCTTTTTTTCTTTCTTTTAGAGTTTAATAATCAGGCATTAAAATCTAAAAGAATAATGCAAATTAGTCGAGATAGTTTCTTTAAGAAAAATAAATCAAGACATAAGAATTTTTAAACGCATAAATTGTTAATAGTGTTATAAATAAAAAAGCCTTCTTATTTGAAGATAATATATATGGCAACAGCAAACTGCTCTGAAATTTTTTAACATATATTTATGCTTCAAATTAAACAGTTTTCAAATTTAACAATCAAAGAGGACTGAACCCTCGTCAAAATTTTCATTCTCCTATTTTTAGTTCATTTTATTTGCTAAAATCAATACATTATAATACAGTAGGGAACCGATTATCCGGAACGGTCGGGACCATCGCTATTCCGGATAACTGATTTTTCCGGTTTTCTGAATCGCTACAAAAAGTCGTTTTTTTTAATTGTTAAACCCAACTAAAAAAAAAATTGGAAATAATCTTAAAAATAAGAAAAAACGATGAAGTTATACATTAATGATTATTTCCAAAATGATGGTAAGGTAAACATCTTTAAAAAAAGAAAAGAAAAATCGTGAAATCTTATGAGGAAAAAATTTTTTTTTTTTTAAAAAATGGCGAGAAAATTTATCGAATTTTGTTCCGGTTTTTTGGTTTTCGGATAACGGGTTCTGTACTGTATATATATATTTAATGATATAATGCTATTAAATTAATATAATAGCATTATTAAATATGCAAGTTAATAGAATTTTTTTTTTGTGATTTTAATTATTAGTTAAAATAGATTGATTTTTGTTACTTATGTAAAACATGTTGACTGCATGAAAAGTTAATAAAAATAATGGTAACATCAAATTAGGCAGGTACTAATTTTTAGTTAAATAACAAAAACAAACCAAAAAAAAAAAAAAGAATTTTTTATTTCAAAATTGAGTTATCCTCATCATAAAAGAAACTATTTTGCTTCTTTCCGTTTTTTTTATACTATTTCTGGCAGGATCTTAACCCAACAGATTCGCCCCAGGTTACACCACCACTAGTAAATAAATCACAAATTTAATTTAATGTGGATTATATTTAAATGCAGACAAGAAAATTTAGAAGCAGAGAGAATTTTATTATATCCCAAATATAAATATTACAACCAATATAATGCAGAACATAATGCAAAAAATGGTACAATACTTCTAAAATGAATACTTTGGTTAAAGATGTAAGATAACCATGGTGATTTTAAAATATATGACAATACACACCTTTAATTAGAATAAAGATATTGACCAAATGATTTGTCATCTACCATTTTTTTAAAAAAATTTCGTATTTACCTTTACTTGTAATTATAGAAAATATTCACTATTTTCAACAAATAAATAACTTTATTAGTCCTATTTAAGAATGTTTGAACTAGTGTTTTATGATCAGTAAGTTTAAAAGAGGGTAGATTGTGTCTATGCGACAAAATGGTGTGAAAATATCTGGCATTTTAAAACAACTTAAAATATTAAAGAGAAGTGTGATAAGAATATATAAAGCATATTTATGAGAGAGTAGCACAAAAGCATCAGCATCAAGGGGGCATAGACGCAAATAAAATAAAACATAATGGTGACAGAAAATTGAAGAGGATTGTGAAGAAAAATTGGGAAAAACAATTAACAATTCTAAAATTTACAAAAGAGTTCTTTTTAAATTCAGAAACGAATATCTCTCACAAAACAGATCAATAAAAACTTAAACTTCATTTAGTGGCTGGAAGTCAATAAAGCACCAAATGTTTTCTAAATGAAATGACAAGTCATTTGGTCAATATGTTTACTTTTTAAGCCACACAATTATTTCATTTGGAATAAACTTACAGTTTAGGAATACAATATAAAAAGGATTAAATATCAGTGTGAATGATTTATAAAAATGTCTTACAAATATGAGGTCACTTTCAGAAGGACTGAAAATATTTTCTTATAGTCATTATAAAATATTCAAACACCTAGTAAATTATTATTTTTTTCTTCTTAAAGATTTAAAAATAAAACTTGGAACAGGAGTTTCCAAGCATTTGAGGACCGTATTAAAGACTACAATCAGAACTGATTAAATTCACAAGATGACAAAAGAAAAAGGCAACAATCTGCAAAATAATTATAACAGGTCAATCATAGCAAACAAATTATAATTTGTTCTTAGCGTTTATTTCTTTTCAAGATGAAGCTAAGGAGTGAATTATTAAAATTAGAAATTCAAAATGTAGCTATATAATTGCATATTCATTGGAAACGATATTGCAAAATTTGATAAATATATATCAAATTTCCTAAACAAAAAAAATTAACTTTTAAAATGTAATTGATGTTTACGAGTAATAATAATTTTTAAAAAAATTTAAGTTTGAAAGAACATTAAACTGAATTTATACAGTTCAATACTATACTATAAAGAATTTTATAATTTGAATAAAAAAACATTTAAAAACTGCATCTTAAACTTGCATACTTGTAAAATAAGTAAAAATTGAGAAAAAGGTAAAAATATTAGGTATTTTCAGAAAAGATAAAGCAAGATATGAACACTTAAAATGTAACAGAACAGTCAAAATACAGCCTGAGACTTCAATACCCCAGGTGAAAATATTCCAAAAACTAATTTAATGAGAGTGTTAACTTAAAAAAAAAATTCAATTAAAAAGAATGATTTTTAGATTAAAAAAAAAAAACTATACAGAATATTCATTCTAAATAAATAGTAGCAAAGAATCCGGAAGGATAGATTAAGATGACTACAGAATGTATTTTCAATCCAAATAATGATGAAACAGGCACCATTTAAGATTACCCATAAACACCAGGTTTAGTTAGAATGTAAAGCTACAAGTCCTTATACATAGAAGTTACTTGATCATGAGAAAACACATATGAAAAATGTTTCGGGTACAAATATCAGTTAGTTATCACTGTCAGAATTTTCATCATCACTTACAAAACGTCTAGTTTGCCTAGGTCTTCTTTTGCGTGTCTTTTCTTCAGGCTCATCATACATATCACTGTCAGCTTCATAGTTTCCACTAGCAACGGCCAAATCACTATCTCGTTCTAATCTTTCTCTTGCTTTGGTAAACACGGATTGTAAAACCAAAGAATCTTCATAAATCAAGGACCCATCAACATTGTAGGTCTGAGCATTTTTACATAATAACATGAAATCACTCTCTAAATCATCTAATGAGCGGTATCGGTGATCTCTAATACGGTTTTTAATTTTCTGAAGATCGACGGGCTTCTTTATAACTTCGTAATAATCTGGAAGCTCGCGTTTTGAAGGAAGTTGCATGAAAGCCTTGCTCAAAACTCTGTCATCTTTTTCTTTGTAATGAATAACAACATTTATTAATTTCTTCATTTGAGTTGTCAACTGAGGTGGATTTGGTGACAGCTTTTCCATCGGGGGCCTACCTCTTCTCTTCTTTTTTTCTGGTTCAGCATCGGAATCTTGATATTTTTCCTTCTTCCTCTTCTTACCAGAAGAAGGACCAGGCACAGAACGTTTCTTTTTAATGGTTTCAATCTCTTCAAAATCATCTTCTTCAATAGCTTTAAGCCATTGTTTTTCTGAAAGAGAATCCGTATAATCAACTTCTTTTCTTTGCCGTGATCCACGTCCAAATAATTTGTCGTCATCATCATCATGAGTCAGTCTATCAACATCAGCGTCATCTTTAACCATCCAATGTGGCAATTCACGTTCTTCCAAAATGCGAGGCTTTCTGTTGGGGTTACGTGCTTCTTCTCTTCTTCGATCAAGATCCATTTGCTGGAATAACTCAAATTCATCCTCATTTCTGGCTATCATTTGATTGATAGTTTCATCATCTGGAACTTCATTCTCTTCTTCTTCATCCACTTCATCTTGAGCTAAGATAGCTTGAAGAAATTGATGACGATCAGTACCAGTAGATTTTTGATCAAACATACCAGCCTGAATAACTTTTTCATCTAAATTAAGCTTGTATTTTGCAGCTGCAAGAATACGTTCTTCAACTGAATTAACAGTAACCAATCTCAAAACTCTCACTTCATTTTTTTGCCCAATTCTATGAGCTCTATCTTGAGCTTGGAGATCTTGCTGGGGATTCCAATCAGAGTCAAATATTATAACTGTATCTGCCGCCTGAAGATTTAAACCAAGACCACCAGCCCGAGTACTCAAAAGAAATATAAAATAGGGTGAATCAGGTTCATTAAATAATTCTAATAAATGACCTCTATCTTCAGATTTAGTTGTACCATCAAGTCGAAGATAGGAATGACTTCTGTAATTCAAATAATCTTCCATAATGGTCATAAGTGAGGTCATTTGGCAGAAGAGTAGTACTCTGTGATTTGTTTTCTTCAATTTTGGCAAAATACGATCAAGTAATTCAAATTTCCCAGATGCTCTATATAAATCAGGACCTTGTACAACATTTGAATTGACCCCTAAATGTTCAGCAAAAGCTTCTTCAATATTTTGAAACATAAAAGGGTGATTACAAATCTTTCGCAGTTGCATTATAGAATTCATCAAAGTTTTTGCACCGCCTTTTCCCTTTTTATCCTTTTCAGAGCCATCAGTTAAAAGAACACCTTTTGTTTGCATATGTCTGTAGAGAAGGCGCTGAAGTGCTGACATATCACACTTCACTACATATTCAACTTTTTCAGGCAGTTGAGATTCTACTTCCTTCTTCAAACGTCTAAGTAAGAAGGGACGCAAGACTTTATGTAAACGACGGATGATCAAAATAGTTTCTTCTTCATTAAGCTCAACTTTTTCACCAGTTGTGGCAAAAGGAGCATTGAACCACTGTTCAAATGTGTTACAGCATTTAAATATACTGGGGAGCAAAAAGTTTAAAAGAGCCCATAACTCTGGCAATCTGTTTTGTAAAGGAGTCCCAGTAAGAAGAAGACGATGAGGAGCAGTATAATGTGTATTTAAGATTTGAGTTAACTTGCAATGTTGGTTTTTCATTCTGTGCCCTTCATCAATAATCATATACTTCCAGCGAATTTTAGCAAGAGTTGATTTATCTTTGATTACATATTCATATGTTGTCAAAACAACATTGAATTTTGTAGCTTTCAAGTTACTTGCAATTTGCCGTCTGAGGATAGGGGAGCCTTTGTATGCAAACTTTACAACTGATGGTGCCCAACGATCGAACTCAAGCATCCAGTTAGAAAGAGTAGAAAGTGGCACAATAATTAAATAAGGGCCATGAACTCTTTTCTTTTCAATTAAATAGGTGAGAAGAGCGATTGTTTGAATAGTTTTACCCAAACCCATTTCATCTGCCAATATTCCATTCAAATTGTTGTTGTAAAGAGAAACAAGCCATTCCAAACCTTTGATTTGGTATTCTTTTAATTTTCCATTTACCAGAATTGATGCTTGTTCTTTGACTTCTTCACTAACAGCATGAGCTATGTTATAATAATTTTGATATTTACCCATATTTGAATATTCATCATCCTCTGTAGAAGTTAAAGCTTGCTTTGCGTCTTCTCTAGGTGGTGCTTCAACTGGTTTAGGGGGTTTAGGCTCTTCCTCCTCTTCAGAATCTGAGGAATCTTCATCACCATCTTCCTCGTCCTCACTAGCTTCTCGAGGAGCAACTTCATAACCAGGATGCAGTTCAAGCCATGTTTCAAGTTGACTAGCTAAAGGTGCACTTTCTCCAAAGAAAGTTTTACCTGTAGCTGTTTCAATAACATTGATTCTAAGGTCACTGAGCTGTGATGAATCATCCATGAGACCGTCTTGAAGTGTATCATCCCCTGCATTTTCTTTCTGCTGTTGCTTCTTTTTCTTCTTTTTGGCTTTCCTTTTTGCTTTAAGCTTTCTCTTTTGTTCAAGTTTATGTTGCTTAACCATGTTTGTCAAATTATTTATATATTCATCAGTTTGAGAAAGCAAAAATGCAAGTCTCTTATCTTTCTTTTGATCAATAAGTTTGCGATATCCTTCTTCATCTTCAGCCATTAAACGCTCAATACGTACTTTATTAATTCGCTCCTGCTCTTTCTTCTGTTCCCTTTCAGTATTTGCATGATATGTGACCATAGCTTTGTTGACTTTTCCAATTTTACCCATAACATTGCGATGGAATTCTTTAAAATCTTTAGCATGCTGTAGAACAGCATTCAAATACTCTTGATGTTTTTGTCGACGCTTACGCTCTTGCTCTAATTTTTGTTGTTTTTCCAATTTTTCGGTGATTCTAGCTTCTCTAAGGCCTTGGCGCTTTGTACGTTTATATAATTTTGGATACAAAGCAGTTTCTAAAGTTGAATCTTTTCTCATGCAGCTTACCACTTCTGCTCGTAATTGTCTTTGGAAATTTAACAAACGTAAACCAATTAGTTCACTCATAGCTTTAGTACGTATATCTTCAGATAGATCACCGGGGAGAGATGAGAGCTCTTGAATGCGAAGAGCTATTCGTGCTGCCAGTCTATTTTCTCTTTCTTTCAAAATTTCAATAGGATCTAATCCTTGGGGCTTTGCCACTGGAGTTATTCTACTTTGTTTTTGTTGTTGCATATGCATCATAGCTGGAATAGGTGCATTTTGAGGATGTGGATGATTCTGAGTTTGGTTTGGAATTGCTGGTGCAGCTACAGTGGGGGCAGTTTGTGGTGTACCACTCATCTGTTGGTGAGGAGGAACAATTTGGGATGGTGCAGCCTGTTGCGGCTGAGGAGAAGGCATGGAAGATTGCTGCTGCATATATGGGTGCATTGGTTGAGATTGCGCTACTTGTGCATGCATCATTCCATTATTCATATTTTGAAGAGAAATTGAAGCTGAAGGGACAGGACCTCGAATAGGCTGTCCAGGAGATTGAGGAGCAGGAGGTCTCTGAGAATACATTGGTTGATTTTGCATAGGTCTCTTACACTTAATGGCAGCAATGACACTTTCAGGGATAGGTTGATTGCGAGATAATAATCTGTAAGCCATAATCTGAGCTCTCAGTTGTGCAATTTGCACAGGTGACAATAAAGATGGTTTAATGTTCATCCCTGGCACTTGATTGGCAGCTGGATTGACACCAGGTGGTAAATTCGGATTTTCAGCATGAGTTGGTCCTTGAGGGCCATTTACTACAGGCTGCCCATAACCAGGATGAGGCTGATGAGAAGGTTGTTGTTCACCCGTATCCATAGTATGAGGAGCATTATTAGTTGACGGATTCATATGATTTTGAACAGTAAGACCTGGATTCATTTGATTGGGAGCATTTGGTGCCATACCCATATGTGCTTGAGAATTAGACCCTGAATTCATTAGGTTCTGAGAGTTGGATCCTGGATTCATATGGTTTTGATTTGGTGCTTGATTCATATGGTTCTGAGCATTCGGCCCCAAATTCATCAAATTTTGAGAATTAGGACCAGGATTCATATGATTTTGAGGATTGGGTCCAGGACTCAAATGGCTCTGAGGATTAGGGTTAGGATTCATATGGCTTTGAGAATTAGGTGAAGGATGTGGTCCTTGATGATAGTTTCCAGGTCCAGAATAGCTTTGTGGATGTGGTGCAGCAACATGAGCCTGAGGATTTACCTGTGAAGAATTCATTATATTTTGTTGAGAAGGCATATAATTCATATTAGAATTAGAAGGTGAAGGAGGAGGCACTGTTTGCTGAGGAGGTGGTGGAGGTCCCATACTTGGACTGGGAACCCCTGATTCAGAATGTTGACCAACACCAGGACTATGACCTCCACTAGACTGGGCACCAGGACTTGGAACTGTTTTTCGAGAATTTGCCATTGCCATTAACTGAGCATATCTCGGATCTTCCTGCATTCCTTTTTCTTCCATAGAATTTATAGCTTTTTGCAGCATATGCAAATTGTCTTGAGGATAGTTTTGTTGTTGAGGTTGAAGCTGTGATCCATGCTGTTGAAGATTTTGTTGGGACTGCATCCCACCAACAGGCATTCTCATCATCTGATCTTTATTGGACATCTTTGAAAAGAGTGTCGAAAATCAGCTGGAAAAATAATAACATTATTAAATAAAATTATTCCCACATAGCATCTAAGAAGAGAAATTAATTGCAATATAATTTCTCTTAAAGCTTTAATGTTTGTTGAATAATACAACAAATGATAAAATATTTTTCTTTGCATGTCACTATATAATAATATGTCATATTTTAGAGATTAATAGTAGGGTGACCTGGGGTAATTCCTGATCAAAAAATGCAAACATCTATTTAGGGGCCGTTCAAAAAGTACGTACACAAAAATGGAGAAATTTTAACCCCCTCCCCCCTTTCGTACATTACCATACATAAGGTCTATCTCCCCCCCTTAGAGTACGTACATTTTATTAGTCTACCCCCCCCTTTTCATAAAAATTAAAATAATCATGTATTAAATAAAATTAAATATTTATTTAAGGAGTGTGTAGGAAAAAGTCAAATTTCAATTTGGTGTATGCTTATAATGTACGTACTTTGTATAATACCTCCCCCCTCCCCATCGTACAAAATAGCAAATCCCCCCCCTTCAGGATGTACGTACTTTTTGAACGGCCCCTTAGTGAGAAAACTATTCAAGATAGAATTTTAATATTTACTGGAAATTTGAGGCTATATGAGATGACTCCTATGCTACCTTCTTTTGTTTGAAAATCTAATTAGAATTTAAAAGATTTTAAATTTTTAGTGATCAGGAATTACCCCTTCTCTTGATCATTTCTGGGGTAATTCCTGATCATTTCTGGGGTAATTACTGATCACCAGTTTTTATAGTAAATGGGTTGTTTAAAAATAATTATACAATGGTAAGGTCTGTCCAGGCCGAATTTACTACCGTTTAGCGGTACCTTCACAAATTCAATTTCAGGTAAAACGGTAGTTTCACAAATTCAACTTTAGGAAAAACAGTAGTTTCACAAAATACTTTTTCTTAAAATTTTATTTTTGTATCCCTTAAGAAATGATAAATCTATATTTTTACCATGTTTTAATATTGATTTTTTTATATAATTTTTAATTTTTCACAAATTATGTCTGAATTTTCACAAAATAGGTACCTTTCAGAAAAACCTAGACAGACCCCTGTAATTAACAAATAAGACATTAAGATGAAACAAATAAACCAAAAGGATATTTTTAAGCAGCTATTAAAACGTTTTATTTAAAAGCTGGAATAAAGATTAACACTTCAGCTCTGGCAGCAGCTCTCACACTGAAATTTTCATTCTCAATCATTAAAAAAAATTTGCTATTTTCGCTTTCTAGAAGCTTAGTATCCTTTTTAGGCTTATAATTTCTCACCATATTTATATTAGGTTAATTTATCAACTTAAAAATTATTCTAACAATGTACACACACAAAATTAAGATCGAAGAAAGGTAAGACAAGCTAGAAATGGTGCATATCGGAACACATTTGTCTTGTATACAGTTAAAAACAAATTTTGTGATTATAGTTAAAATATATTTTATAGTTGTTCCACTTTATAAATATTAACTGTTATATAAGAAAAGACAGTTAAATATTTATTTGCTATTTTTTATACTAAAAGAAGAAATGAAAATGATCAGGAATTACCCCATCTGTAGGGGGCAACATTTGATATAGTTTCCTATAATCAATTATAATGTTTACAGTAGATGTGAAACAATTAAACAAAAGCTTACACTATTTTTATATCAAAGAAAAAGAAAGTAACTCAAAATATTTATTATTAAGAGAAGGAGGGGGATATTTGCAGAAATGTGCACATTTTGAAATCCATCTTTGAAATGGAAAATGCAGAAAACATTTTAAAAGATACTTATTTTGTTAGATTAAACAAAAAACTATTATTAAGTAAATGTAGTTACACTTTAGTAAAGTGTACAAGCTTTCTTGTCCATGTCTCAAATTTAAAAAAAAAATAAATAAATAAAACTTAGGTGATCATTATTTACCCCAGAAACAGAGTGATCCTGAATTACCCCGGGTCACCCTAACTGAAAGTTTTTAATATCGTGTATTTATCAGGCTTTTACTACATTTATTGAAATAATATTTGCATGCAATTTACCTAATCTTTAATCACTTGACAGAGAAAAAGCAAAAAATAAAATATCCACTATTTTGTTTTGGCGACAAATAAGTAAATAATCTAATTACATGGATTTAAAGAAAAATACTACAAATAAATTATGCTTTAAAAAAAATTAATAATTCAATAACTTTAAAAATTTTTGAAACACAATGTAAAAAAAAAATTAAATTAAATATATTTAAAAAAAATCAATAAACTTTACATTAAACTAAATTAATTTATTAGTCAAAATTAGATAGCTTTCTAATAAAATTAAACTTATCTTAATTTCTTTTTCTTCCATTAATTTTATTGATATGAGAATCACTCCTATTGTTTGATTTTTGTAAGCTTAATATTCATTTATTCTGAGTTACAGAAACTACATAATTTTATATCTTTTATACTCATCGATCTTAAATTTAAAGCTTTTCAACAAATTTTTAATAACTTTATTGATCTTTATTGAGAACTTTATGATTTTTAAAATTCCAAAACCGAAACTAACGGTAAGTCGAACTTCCGATATGTCGAAGTTTTTCATCAATCCTATCAGATTCGAGTTATCGCGAATTCACTGTATAAATAACTTAAAGCATATCATAGTTTATCATACAAATAACTAAGCATAGCACATCATATAAATAACTATCATATAACTAACATAGCACATCATATAAATAGCTCAAGCACATCAAATTTTATTAGGTTACTGAAGTGAAATATATTATTGTAAATTAACCTAAAGGAATATTTAAATGGTTTCTATTCATATTTCATTTCATAAAGAAAAAGCAAAAGAAGAGATGGAAATATATAAAAACAAATCTAATAAAAATACTTATTATTATCAAAATTTTGCTTTAAATAGAAAAAATAATTTAATTATGTTAAATCTTAGTAGCACGGTAAGATTAATTATGTATCTTGGTATCGTACACAAAATATCATAACTGCATGAGAATTTTTTTTGTAAATCAAAATGTGAAATGTTTGTACACATTTGTGCCTGTTAATAAACTGTTTTGTTACAGTTCACTCTGATTATTATTTCTTCCATTTTCCATTATTGGTGTGAATTTAAAAAAAAAAAAAAAACTGTACCTTGTTAGAGATTCACTTACCACGGTTAAAAATTTCAAATGATGTTGCCCTTCATTTAATAGTCTGTAACTTAATGAAAACTGATATTAAGGTATAAGTCATTATTTCTAAATATTCAATTTTTACCTTGGAAATGATACCTCATTCACTTAATATTTAGTTTAAAATTTTGGTAATCTGGTTGCCCAACTTGAAACTGTACCTGTACAGTGCAGAACAAAAATACAAGGTTTCGTTTTCCTTCTTTCTAATAAACAAACATAATTAATAAAAATTTATATTCTAAGTTTATACATCATTTAACATGTTTTTCATACATTCCTTGGCTTTTGCCAGCTCTTTAGGGTAAAAGGAGAAACAGTTTCAGAAATATCTCCGGAATGTAAGCAACATTTGCAAACTTTGACATTGTGATTAATACACTATTCGAATTTTGAATCAAAAATCAAGTATTTACCAACAACAGAAACATTTAATGTTAACATTTAGTTGGTTCGAAAAAGAACCTTTTTCTCTTCAATAAAATATGCTATAAAAGGTTAAATTGAAATTCAGAAAATTAGCATCAATGCAACAATTGTAACGATTTCGCTATTAGCGATTCAAGATAATGAGTGATTGGTTGGCTTTGCTGAGAAAAAATAATTCATTGGATGAGAATGCAAAAGCTTTCAGAAAAAGAGTGCAAGATAAAATCTATTATTAAATTATAACCAATTATTTTTTGGAAAATTAAAAACACTAAAACATTTTGTTAAAAGAAAAAAAATACACCCAAAACATTGGAATAAACTAGAACAGTAAATGAATTCAGCCTAAAGAGCAAATATTCTAAATCCTTCTTCCACCTGTTACAATTTTTGCCTTCTGTGTATACTTGTTAGGCTGTCCAAGGACTACTCCTACGGCTGCCCTAGAGAGCTTACTCGTGCTTCGTCTTATGTACCTTGGTTTATGGAAGGAATATTCCAAGCACTTGTCATGGGGTCAAATTGTTTCACAGGTGTCAGATATTCCTTCTTTTACCATGCCTAGTGATTGATTATATGTCAGGAGATACCAATGCATTATGGGTATTGAATCTGATTCTTTTCGTCGAGGTTGTCGTCTTGAGGAGGAGACTTCATGATATATACTTTGTGAATGTGAGGTCTATTCTGCTCAAAGATTTGAGTATTTAGGGCAACATTCCATCAAGGCCTAGGAATTACAAGTGCACAACCTGCGGCCCGCGGGCCAAATGCGGCCCTTCGACTACTGAAGTGCGACCCGCGAGAGTTTCTAAACACAATAAAAATTTTTTTTAAAAAATGGCAATTTTTAATCGCACTTTAAAGTCATCACGTTTTGACACAATCAATTTTAACAGATTCTTTAGTAAATGTACGTTTTACGCGCTTTCTTGAAGCCGAATTTATAGTAAATATAAATGATTTTTTTTTAAACAGTTATTTCTGCTTTTCTACGTGATTCTGAAAATTCCGAATTTTTATAACGACGCAAGTTTCAGATCGCAAATTTAAATAATCACTTTTTGGGCACTTTATTTGTGACAATTTCATCTTAAATCTAAGTGATTTTCTATCTTTTTTTTGCAATTCTTTCTTTTTCTTCAAAAATTTTTCTCGGCAGTTATTGCTATGCGTTCCTACGTATTATAAAAAATTCCAATTATTCTGTTACGACATGCAAATTTTAAATCATGCATTTGACGCACTTTATTTGTGCTGAGTTCAGCATAAATATATTTTTTCCTAATTATTTCTATACTTTTCCTCGTGATTTTGACGATCCCGTTATTTAACTATGATGTTATTACGACACGTGATTGTTAATCACGCAATTAAATAATCACTTTTTGATACGGTATTACCGTACAGTTTTATCGTAAATCCTAGTTATTTTTCCTTCTTTTTTATTTCCGCAACGAATATGATTTGGTCGAATGTGGTAATGAATTGTGATTTGATCAAAAACCAAATATTCGGCAAAAAGAAGAAGAAAAAATCTATTGAACGCCGTTCACTTGGGGCCAAATAGCAAAATCTTTTAGCAGTATAGCAACACTGAAACTAAAATTTCAATGCTCAGAATAATATTTCCTGGAAAAACGTTAATTAACTCTAAAAAATAAGGCCAATCAAGAACGTTTTTGAAAATGTCGAAAAGCGAAACAGAGTCTATAGAGAGTAAAAATCAATCTTAATTTTTGAAAATTTTTTTTAAAGCTGAACATCTCAATTTTTCAATTACCAGAAAAAGCCAAGAAAAAAGAATTAAGTCAACAGAAATGCTATTAAAAATTACTGCGTTATAATGAAAACGTCTAAAAAAAGTTTTTTTTTTATTTAAAGAAAATAAAAAGATAGAAAAAATGTTCTTAATTTTTTAAGTGAAAATCTTATGCCGAAAATCTCAATTTAAATTTTTCTCATTGCCATAATTTTAGAAGAAAAAAAATTGCTATAAAATAAATTTTATTAGTAACTTTATTTTTAAAAAAAATGCTGAGTCATAATAAAAATGCCTAAAAAAAGAAAAACAGAAAAAACAAATTTTTCTTAGTTCCTGAAACAAAACTTTAATACTGAAAATCACACTTTTCTATGTTACTGGTTATTTATATTACAGTACAGGGAAAGAGTGATAATAAATTAATAGTATGAGACGTTCTGTTAAAATGCTGGGTTATAATAAAAACTGCAAAAAATGGATCCTTCTCAATTCTCAAAGTATCGAAAAAATGACAAAATTGACTTGTCTGATTATAATTTTTAAAAAAAAAGTAATATCTATAAAAATTCAAAAATAAAAAAAACTTAGAAAAATACATTTCTAAAAAATATTCTGCCAAATATTTGACTGATCATTCAACCAACTGAATTTTTCACAGAAGGGCCAAATACTCGTTACATCCCTCCCTAATTTAAATGCAATGTTATTGCAACTTGAGAAATTCATAAAATGGCGGAAAACGTGAATTTTTAAACTGCTCACTGTTTGTAGTTTAGATTTCAATTTTTTGTTGCTTAAGTGATCTTTTTCGATAAAAAAAAGGAAAATGTTTACGATATAAAAAATCTAATAATTAATAAAATAAAATAATAAAGTACATTACAAAATAAGCATTGAATTTTATTTTGAACTATCACAGTTTTGTTTTTATTTTAGGCTTTTGTTTAAAACCTATAAATTTTCTTCAATTAAAATATTTAATTTGAATTTATATTACTTAATTATGACTAAACTTTTTCCTACTTTCATTCTGTGGGCATTGCAGTTTTTTTTTATTTATTAGAATTTAATTCTAAAATGAATTTTCGTATTACATGATATGAGAAAAAAAAAAACATTTCTTTTCTTCAATGTTTATTTATTTTGATAAATCTATTGTTCATATGATAAAAATAGCAATTTTTTTTGTAAAAAAAAAAAAAAAGTATAAGTTTTTTTATTTTTGAATGAATTCTAATAATGGAACACTACTAAGTTATTGATATTACTAAGTTTATTAATAAAAAAATGGAACGATAATGTTTAAATAAACATTTTTACATTTGTCATTAACATGTCTAAATACATGTGCGGCCCTTCGTTAGCCAACCTGCTGTGCATGTGGCCCTTCACTCAAAAAGGTTGTGCACCCCTATGTTAGGTGTTTGCTGAATTTTGTTTCAGCGATAAAGCTTTTTCGTTCATCATGATTTAGGGTTTGGGTACAACATACCTTTGGTCGATGTGCTCTTTGGAGCTGCCTAGTCTCTAAGTCTAAGATATTCCTTAAGCCAAAAAGTGATAAAAATAGAATTATTTTGTTAAATTATTAATAAACTATCTAATATTATAATTTTTTTTAAAAGTAACATCATTAATAAAATGCTGAAGTTTCGAAAATTATTGAGGAGGGATGTGTCCTCCCTTTTCCCAGATGTCTTTGTGACCAAAAATAAGTATTTTATGCAAAATTGAATGAAATCAAATTTTTAAAAAATGATCTCAAAAAATACTTCAGTAACAGAAAAAAAAATTAAGAAAGAAAACAATTCTTGATTCCTACTATGATACAGTTTTTTAAAATTAAATGAACCCTAAAAGGAAAATTTTTAAACCATAAACTAAATACAGTAGAGAACCAATTATCCGGGATGCTCGGGACCATCGCTATCCCGGATGTCTGAATTTTCCGGTTTTCTGGATCAACCAAAAAGTGTCGTTAATCGATGTTTCATCGAACCTGAATTACAAGGAAAAAGTGTAATGCATAAAGTAAGAGAAAAAAGAAAGGTACTCCTAGCTTTAAAAAGAAAAAAAATGGTAGAAAAATAACATTTAAAAGAATAAAAAAATTTGCAAGTTTAGACAAGAAAAACAAGATTAAAAAACACAAAATTCCATTATTTATTTTTTAAAAATAATTACAATTCCTAAATTAACTAATATAAACAAAACCAATGGTTAAATAACGCAATATATTTTATACCTAATTATACAGGGGAAACGATAAAATAAAAGAAAAACTTATTAATTTAAATTAAAACACTTGAAAATTATCGAACCGAAACGATAGTTAAAAAAGGCACTAGCATATTGAAACCCGGAACAAGGCAAGATCAACGGAATTTAAAAAAAAAAACCTAATGATAAAATTTATGAATAAAAAGAATTAATTTATTGAGTGCGAAATTTATCGTGAAAAGGAAAAAAAAAACCAAACGTAGTGGAATCAGAAAAACAAAAGTGCAATCTGCTTCATAAAATAATCCTATGTTTAAATTAATAAACTATTCTCCTTTTATTTATTTTTTGTTGTTGATAAAAACAAGATACTTAATTACAGCAGATGTGAATCCACATCAATAAAAACTTGCAAATGATACCACACTTGAATTTATTCAGAAGAAAAAGATTTTATTTTTATTAATCGATGTCAAATAGATAAATATATTTTTCTCTTTCATCTTCTGTTCACTGATATGCATGCAATGTATTTTCCCCACCCCCCTCGTAAATTAAACAGAAAACGAAATCAGCATGCCACACCCTTCAGCTTTATTGACTGCCTAAAGGAGAAAATAAAAAAATCTTCCCTTCCTTCAAGGTCACGGAGAAAATGACGTTTCTCTGGGTAAACGGGGAAAAAAATCCTCCCCTTCTTAACATTTTTCTCTACTCAACTTCAAGGATGAGTTCATTTCCGCTTTTTTTCATAATCGTTCTAGTTTAAAATGGTGGGAAAACTAATCAAAATTTTTCCCGGTTATCTGGATACCGGATAAATGGTTCTCTACTGTACTAGGCAAAATAAAATTAACAGAAATTACAAAATTTTGCGTGAAATAAAATGAACCCACAGTTAAATGGTGTTTAAAAAAATTGTAATATAGAGTAATAAAGAGAAGAGAAGAAACATCCAAGATGAAAAACAGGGGAAAAAACTGTGATATCAAGCAGACAATGAATTTTCTACTTCATCTATTGATTAATATGCAGATTTATAATTTTTAATTTATTGACAGACAAGACAAAGGCAATTAACACAAGAAAATATTATATTTAAAGAAATCAAAACCTATTATTACAATTGATCAGACGCCTTCACCAAGATCAAATGTTTACCGAGAGAAGGAACGGACATAATTTGATTATCTTCTTCTGCTTTTAATAAAAGAAAATGGAGAAAAATGTTATATTTAGGTTAAGTTAGTTAAATAGTTTGGTTTAATTAAGCCTAGAACAGCAAATTCAACACACATTAATTGTTTTTTTTTCATAACTAGGTTGGAAAATTGCATTGCCCAAACGCGATTTTTGACTTATTTGACACGCTACAGGATATAGACGGAATCACTCCCTATATATTGAGGTTTGCACAAAGATGGCTATGACTTATACCCTTCTATAAAGTTTCCCTAGTTTTCGTGTGCCACTTTAGGAAGTCAGCAAATCTTAGTGGTTAGTATGTTGCACAGATACGAATATTGTCCCACTGTCAAGGTTATACCATATACTAGGTATATGATTTAAAAAAAAAACATTAGTTATCGATGCTAACATATTTTACAACCCCACACTTAATATAGGCAAACATATTCAATATCAAACAAATGATAATTTTCTAAATATTGTTATAGCATATAGTCAACAAGAAATCATAATAAAGACAGGAAACAATTCAATTTGGAAGACAGATGATCTGTAACAACAAACTTGAAAAATACCACTGTTGCTTTAAATTTTTTAAAAAAAACTCTGAAATCTTACGCTTTTGCAGAAATTACTATGTCCAACAATGGGGGAAAAATCAATAAAAAAAAGTAATGTAATAAAAAATTAATAGACAAAATGAAATATTAACAATACAAATCTCGTATAAGTAGTACATAATTAAACAGGGACGACATGTAAGATTATTTTACAAACCCGGTATAATTATAAATGTCAAGATTTTGCTGTACCACAGCAAAAACGGAGTTATTAGCTGTGTTTAGCCTAACGTATTCAATTTGATAAATAAAACAGCAAAATAAAATGCAGCTTTAATTTTCTCTTACAATGATCATAAAAAGTGAGAGAAAAATCAAGAAAATAAAATAGAATTCATGTTATATATTTACCATTTAACGTAACGTAAACATAACTTTAAATCTAGATTTCGTACGCTTTTCACTTGGATAAACGCAAACTGGTTTGTTAGGAAATTGAGAAGGTTTCCAGCTGCTTATTTTTGTATAAATAAAAAACCAGGTGGTTTTTTATTTTTATTTTTTTAAATCAATTCTATCAATCGAGTATAAACGCATTCATATTAAACTATCAATATAATCAATATAAACAAGTTTTTCAAGCCTCTTACAAGTTTTAAGTTCAGGGCGTTCATTAATGTTTGCTTAATAATTAAAATGTTTTATTGAATCTTATGTGATTAAAGTGTTGAAGGGCAGGTATGTTTAATATAGTCAGTTTATTATTTAGTACAATAATGTCTAAACTTTTCCAATAACAGTGAACCGATTAGTTCATGTATCTACTATTAAATGGACTAATTATAGTTTATTTAACAGTCAGTTCTTTACCATCCAACTAGTTCAGTTTTAATTACAGTCATATTTCCATGTTAAAAAAACTTTATTAAGCAGTATTTGTCTTGATAAGTTTAGGCGCTTGATAATTGTAGGAAACTGAATGATGAATTAATTTTATATTTAAGAGGACGCTATATCACGGGAGAAACCCTTGACGGCAAATTCTCTTTCACCCTTCAATTTATTTAAAAAAATAGAAAAAGTGAGTTCAGGTTAACCCACTGTTAGCCATTTAAATTTTATAAGTTGAAAAGAAAAATCGAAATAATTATGAGAGGATAACTTAAGAGTTGCGCTGTGAGGAAGTTCTCCTCTAAAAAGAGTATAAGTAATTTTGTAGTGCATAATATTTATTTTCTATAAATATCAATTTTTAAAACTAAATTTATTTTTATTGATTATATTAAATGGTTAGTTTCTGTGCTTAAAGTAAAAATAGTTTTGTTATATGTAGTGTTTCTATTTTTATTATTTTCATAGGTACAGTGCACAAAGCAGAAAATGGACCGCCTTGAATGGTTTTTGATCTAAGGATCGGATCTTCTCATTCTTAATGGTTCTAGAGGGTGACCTCAAATATGTTAATTAATTAGTGCAGCCAATATTTTAAATAATGAAATGAGATACAAAAACGTACTTTCTCTGAATAAACATAGCTTTTTTACAGCAGATTTGGGTTTTTGACTCCTAAAGCATAGGGAGTGGCCACAAACTTGGAAAAATGGAAATATGATCCCCATAGTTGGGTGAGGAGAGCTGTCCAAAGTTTGGACTTCTTAATGTTAATTTTTACTTTTTGCGTATTTCTATCTCGCGAATGTTTATACAGTTTATCCAAAAATATTTCTATGCAAAAATAAAATATTTGTTATTTTATTTAATAGTTATCGAACAATTTTGAATTGTAAAGTATAACATTTTTTTACATGTTATGTATATTTTACATAGCAAAATATAAAATTTGAGTGAAATCGGTTGTATTGTTCCTGAGAAATAGAATTTTAAAGAAGTCTTATATTTAAAATTCGATTTCTCAGAAACTATTTAACTGATTTTGCTTAAATTTTATATTTTGCCATGTAAAATTCGACAATTTTTCGACCATTATTAAATAAAATAATAATAAATATGTATTAAAATTTATTTTTTGCATAGTTTTATCTTTGGATAAATGATTTTTTTTAGTGCAAAAACTTTTCAATTCACTTAAAAAGTTCTCGAGATATGGTGAAATATGCAAAAAGTAAAATTAACATTAAAGGATCCAAGCTTTAGACCACTCTCTTGACCAAACTATGGGGACCATATTCCCCAAATTACGGCTACCCCCTATATTTGGGGGGTCAGAAATCCGAATCCGTCTAAAAAAAGTACAGTGCAACCTCGAAAATCCGGACTGCTGGGGGGTTTGGAAGGTTCGGATTTCCGGATTTTAGATACCTTACTTGAATTGATAGAATTATCGAAGTTTTGAATTCGCCAAGCCGATTTCGCGATTAATCACGCGTGTGTAGACCTCCGACGTCTATTTAAACATAAATATACTCTTTAAACAATAAATAAAAGACATTAAAAATCAAACTTTCGTCATTTTCCCACCGCAATCGATCGTTTAGATAACATAATATTAGCAATTAAAATATAGGCTTAAAACGCGAGCTGAATTTCAACTTATAACCGAAAGAGATGCTTCTAGACTAGACTGTACCAGCTGATACTAATCCTTTTTTTGTTGGGGGATGAAAGAACTTGTCCCCACCTCCTAAGCTTCAAGGTTAAGAAAGAACCAGTTTTCTTTCATCACAAGGGGGGAAAACAAGGAGATGAAAGAATTCCTTCTTCTGAGGGGATTCCCCTTCTGGAGGAGGGGAATTCTCTTTTATATTCTTTGTTATCTATACAGAACTGATAAGAATGACTGGAATTTCCTTATCAGCTATGAGCTTTCATTCACACCCCACCTCTACCTCTTCATCTACTGCTTCATTGTTGGAGAAGAGTTGTGGTGATTTTGCATTAAAATTTTTATTTTAAGCGATTTTTTAAAAAAAAATTTCTGAGGAACTAGACGTATGAGTCTGGATTTTAGAGATTTCCGGATTTCAGAAGTCCGGATTTTCGAGGTCGTACTGTATATTTATAAAGTGTGTTTTTGATTCTGATTTTGTAACTTAAAATATCGTCTGCATTGATTAATTAGCATATTTGAGGTTACCCCTTCAAACCATTAGAATTTGAAGATTTGATCATTAAATCAAAAGTTGGTACAAACCATTATATTATGGAATTATTTGGTACTATTTTTGAAATCCAAATTGTTATGTTCTAACTTACCATTAATAAGCGTAAAAGGATTAGTAATGTTCTATTTAAAAATAAATGAATACTATCCAATTTTTATATATTTTGTTCACCTAATTTCTTAGTGGAATGACTATATTCTGCAAAAATAATATTTCTTTATTTAATTTTTTTTTAATAAATCACAAGTGAAATAATGAAGATTAATAAAAACTTTCTTCATTTCCCTGAAATATTGGTAAGGACTTTTAGAGATTTTCAATTATTGGTAAAGATTTCTAATTATACCCTCCCTCATATGCATTATGTATATAAACATATGAATGCTGTTCAGCGGAAAAAAATTTCCATTGTCTTAATTTTATAGCATTATTCATTGTATATTAATGAATAGTAGTGATTGAATGAATAGTAGTGATTATAAAGATATTTATTAAATATTTACTGACTGAGAGACTTAAATTTCAGATATACTAAGAAAGCCAAGCATAAAGTAAAACAAGGTACTGATACAGTCAAGTAGTTTTATATATCATCAAAAAGCAGTTAAATTTAAAAGAAGTATGTGCTGTTATCTATAATAATCAATATAGAGTTTGAAGAAATTTTAAAAAAAGAGGTTTTTTGAACAAATTTTGTTGAAATTAGATGGCTAAAAAAGTGTTGAAATTAGTTAAAAGAGTTAATAAATTGCTAGCAGAAAATCTTATCTAAGTCTTTCCATCTTATTTAAGTTTGTCCTCCCTGCATGCTAACTATCTTTATATTACCTATACAAAAGAAACCTTATGGTTTTAAATTAATTTTCTCAATTTTTTTTCTTTTATCTTTAAGCAGGTAATTTGTTTTAGTATGCTGAGCCCAGAGAACACATCTGTTTCAGAACCATTGTACGTTTATTACCTGGTAGAAGATGATTTGGATACTGCAGTAGATGATCAACCAATCGATTTCAGTAAAAGGTATTCTGATTTAAACTCTGGATGTAAAACAGTTGGGAAAAAAAGGCATCGTTCTACAACTGCATCCGTTAGTTCAGAACCCATTGGTTCCAAACAACCTTGTGAAGACGATGTGAGAGTTTATTGCATTGAAGGAACTCCTTTGTTAATATCATCGTCCTCGTCTATGTGCGATATTAGAGACTGTTCTTCTTTCGAAGGTGGTTTACGAAGAAAATCCTTAGATTTGAAGGATAGATTCAGTCTTTCAGAAAACTCCAAAACTTCTCCAGATAGTTCAAAAGAACAAGATATGGTAAAAGAGAATGAGGAATCTGTTGTTGAAGAGAATAAAAATAATGAAGTTGACATAGGTATGCTAAATAAAACTAATTTCAAATTGTATGAAATTTTTTTTTATTAATGGATAGTTTGTTATTTTAAGTTTAAAATGAATGTGAGCCTTATTTTACGCTGTAAACAATTATGCAATTGACTTTTACAAGTTATGTATCTTTAGGCACACATTAAAATTAGTCAATTTATTTAATGTTTTGCTATTACAATATTTTGATTTAAATTTCTTATGTGAAAATTTGTGTAGATTTAAATGCTAAGGATTTATGATAGAAGGAAATTTGTCTATTTTCTTTTTTTTTTTTTTTACTCTTTTGTATAATATNAAAAAAAAAAAAAAAAAAAAAAAAAAAAAAAAAAAAAAAAAAAAAAAAACGGTGGTGGTCTACATTTTTTGGCTACTTTTCACTTTCGACCAGTTAACCAAAAAGTATCTGATTTATCATCAGTATCAGTTTGTTTGAATTTATGGTGTTATCTGGGATGAAAAAAGTGGATCGCTGGTTGCTTTGGAATTTAATTTCAAATATGCCTGCAGTAGTGCTTCAGCAACAAGAAACGATTCAACACACTAAATCTTTACTTTTTAATTAACTTTGAAAGACTGAAAAACAATTTCATTGCACGAAAAAATACAGAAATATCTAAATTTTGTAGTAAATAAAAGAGTTTACAATTAATTAAAAACTGCATAATTGGCAAAAAAAAAAAAAAAAAAAAAACCCTTGCGTTAAACTCCTGAATACAGTAGTAAATAAGCCATTAATTTTCTGCCTTGTGCAAAATGTTTCTCTCAATTGATCATATTAGATTTTGTAGAAATTTAATTTTTTTAGCAATATTATAAAAGATTCAGAAGTAAAAAAAAAATAGTCTTTGTTAAAAATTCAACAGCTTATTAATCAGACTATTATTAAATGTGAATTTATGTCTTTGAAAGACATTTGATTAAAGAGGAAAAAAAAACTTAATTAAAATTAGTTGATTTTAACATTTCCATTGTAAGCTATCCAAAACATATTGAAGTGTAGTTTGATATGAAAATGCTAAACTGTTAAGAAAATAGCAAAAACTATAACACACAAAAAATTAAAAAAAATTAATTTATTCTACATCTTTCAAAAAGGAAAAATAAATAATATAATTATATACTTTATAATTTATTAATGTAATCTTAAAAATACTATGAATTATGAGATAACAACTAAGCTTATAATCAGGGTTAAAAATCACTTGTTTTAAAATAATATAAAAATTACAGATGTTTTAAAATCACACTGTGCAACAAAAAATGTAAACCTACTGTTCTAAAAAAGTTGAAAAAGTACAACTAGTTGCAAACATGCATATTAAATTCTAAATTTGGTAATATTCTGCCTGCCTTTTTTTTTATTGTGTTTCTTAAATAATCATTGTTTATCAACCACCTGTCTGTAAATTAATATTTGTATTAAAATTAAGATAAATTTTATTTATATTTAAGTAGGTTTAGGTTTAAAATACTTTTCATTGTAAAGAATATGTGAATGAACAAAAACAGTCTGGCTAAATTACTAATCTTACCAGTCGGCAATAAGAGACTGAAATATTTTACAAATCCTTTGAGTAAATCAAGTTGAGAAATATGCTGTAGATGATCTTCAAGTAAAATGTAAACAAAAAAAACAAAGAGCCGATTAAAAATATTTAAAAAGATTGATAATTATTTTTGTTCCAAAAGTGATTTTTTTCTTTATAATTTATACATTATAAAATTTTTTATTGCCGTATATAAAACAATGATACATTTTTTTTAGTGTACCAGTTACAAAATAATTAAAATCTTGTTTTTAATGAATGAGATACAATCAGAAGTAATAATCAGATACATTGCTTGTTTTTAATTTTAGAGGATACTTTACAATCGTTTGCAGCCGAAGAAGTATCATCTGAGTTACCTTCACCCCTAATGTTTTCTAGATCTAGTTCAGTTGGTTCATTAAATAGTTCCGAACAACATTCTATTATAGATGACAGAAGTTCAGTTAGCATCTTCAGGTATGTGCACACAACCTTTATTCACATTTAATGAAATTTAATTTTTTTTGTTCTTTTCTAATTCTGTTTTACCATGAAATATAGTTTCATGTATTTCACAAAGTACAGTTTAATACATTTCATGAAATATAATTTAATATATTTATTATATAAATAATATATTTATTATATAAATAATATATTAATAATGTTATTTTTATGTGTATTTTAAATTAATTTAATTTTAATTATTATTTTTTAAGAAATTATTTATTAGAATAATTGCCTTAATCCTTTAAGGTAAAAATTAATTTGCTGCCAAACCTTATTTAAAGGCAATAGGTGCCTGAAATATATTTTATATGTAATTAATTTTTCATTAATGTGTTTTTATTGCTTGCTTATCAAACAGTATTCACTCTATCATTTGACAGTATTATTAAATGATGAGATTGTATACCAATCGTGGAATTTTCAATTATAGTGTTTTGGGTGTCTTTAATTATTGCCTTGATAATTTGGAGAAGGAATTTAAAAAGTATTTTTAGTGAACAGAAAAAAAAAATATTGTAGGTTTTTTTTTCTCTCTTAAAATCTACAAGTTAGTTTCTCATTTATTTAAATTATTCTACATTCATCTATATAAATTATCATCAATTTTGAATATTTATTCAGTAATATAGAGAGCAGCTATGTTTTTCCTATATTTGATTATTATTTTTTTTCAAGCATCAACCTGTTAGCATTTTTATTTTTTTATATAATAATTAAATTTTAAATTTTAAATGTACTCTTAAATTTTAAATGTACTGAATTTTTATCCTTTTTTTTTTAAATACAACTTATGCGCATTATTGCTGATTTCAGCATTACTGTAAACCTTTTCAGTAGTTTTTTTAAAAACTTTTAGCAAGTTGATGCTTATTGCAAAAACTTATTTCCCACAATGTAATTCAATTTGTTCTATATTATAATGTGTGTAAGGTTAAATACCCTTGAAAATTTGTATGGAAAAATTTCCTTCAATGTGCTACCTAATTTGATACAAGGAAAACCAGGAAAAACTAATTTTCTATGAAGAAAAGTAGCAAGGTCCGTAATCCATTCTGCTTGTTTAATCTATTTCATTATTTTACACATAACTGAATAATTGCCTGGAAAAAAAGAACACTAATACAATCAGCTTTGTAATAGCAAATTTTAATGAAAAAAAATGCTCAAAACTCTAACTTTTTATGTTTTCTTCTTTTTTTTTTTTTTTTTTAAAAAAATTACTTGTAAATGTGTAGTAGAAACTTTTATTTCTAACTTCATTTGGTTTAAACTTCCTAAATAAGGCTAAATTTTGATTCCTAAGATATTTTAAAGGTAAGAAAAAAAAAAGTTTTTAATAAATGCAAACCACATACAGATGTCCAAAAAATTGGATTAGGTATTTCTGCATTTTAGAATAAAGAGAAACTGCACATATAAAGCACAAATAAAAGTACAGAAATGGTATAGTTTTGGTTTTGTGAACAAGAACCTTAATAAGTGTCTAAACACAAAATCATTTTGTTGTTTGATGGTACTAGATTATTATTTATAGAACTGAAATTACCATATGTCCATTTCTGTACTTTTTATTTGTGCTTAATTCGGATTGTTTTTGTCTTATTTTCGTATGTATTCATGAGTATTTAATGGTAGGCAACTCCTAAGATTACTAGAGGCCTCAATGAAGACAAGCAGGACTAAATGAAGGGGTATATATTTAAAAACAAGGGACTTACATAATAGTTCTTTTAAATTTACATAATTATTTGAGATGGAAAAAAAGGATTGAAGGTGTGGAACCTTGACAGATTGTTTTCGGTATTTCATGTTAAAACTTTATGCAGCAATGCATCAGCATCAAGAAAGAAATGATACTGCGCACTGAACTTTAACTTTTTAACTAACTTTAAAAGAATAAAAAGAAATGTATCTAAAAATATCACAAAAATAACAACTTTTTAAAGAAAGAAAGAAATTTTTTTCGATTAATAAAGTACTCCAAAATGGACAAAAAATTAGGATTTTATTATTAACAGGGTTGTGGCTGCAATATTCCCCCACATTCCATTTACTATATTCATGAATGCAATGTTTATCAGTTCAATGTTATTCAGAATGCAAAGTTTAATTGTAGCACTCTGATCAAATTGCAATGATTCAAAAATCAAATGTCAATAATTTAAACAAACATTCCTTATTAATGTATAAAATATGATTTTTTACGTAATGTAATATGTTTTTATTTTTAAAAAAATAATAAATTCGAGTAATTAAAGGAAAGACATTGGAACAAATTTCCATTTGGTTTCAAAAATTTCGAATATGTTAAGACTTTTTTCTCAAAATTCTTACTTCTATAAGTAGTTTGTGTACATAATATCAATTTCCCAATAATATTTCAGTATTTCTGATATTTTTTAACTGATATAAGTCTAGCATATATTTGAAGGAATTTAACGCATTCATATTTTCAGTAGTTGATAAGGGCTCTTCAAATATTCCGTAAGCACCTAAGGAGGGGGAGGGGACGTTTGTGATTTGCTTACTTTTGTTACCAAAAGGGAAGGAGCTTGTAAAAAATTTATATAAAACTATAAAATCCCATTTTTTTTTAAAAAGTAAAATAAAAAATTTAACAAAAAAATTTTCCTATGGAAAAGTTTCAAATTTGGAATGAAAGTTGAAGTTCGTGAAAGAAAATTTTGGAAAAAAATTTCTTTGAAGAATTTTAGAGATCAAGAATTTTGAACATGAAAGAAAAATAGAAAAGACTGGTAAATAATAAGAATTATAAAATGAATTAAGACGTTAATTTTGTTTTATGCAAAGTTGCATTTCTTATTTGAATTTAATCTAAAAATAAGATTACTTCAGTAAAAGTGAAAGTTAAAGTAAAAACTGGGGGAAAGGGCTGTTGTAATGTATGTAAATGAGGGAAGGGGTTTGTGTTTTGCTTATCTTTGCTGATAAGGGAGAAGGGGGAGTCCTGAATTGCCAAAAATATGCTTGCATAATATTTAAACAGCCCCCTAATAAATAGATTTTTAAAATTATTTTACATTTTTCAGCAATCTGCCAAGTGGTATTATATCGCCTAGCGAGCTACCTGATTCTCCTGGGGAAGCTATGTCACCATTTATCCATAAAAATAGGCAGCAAGTATTTAAATTTCCTCCACCTGAAGATGATAAGCAGTCAGTTGATCATGTACCAAATTTGGATAAAGTGTGCAATGATGCATACAGTGATGCACCTGAAGATGTTCTTAAAGTGTATGATATTGAAGGAGACTGCTCATCTATGTCTAGTTTCAGTGAGCTCAGCATTCATACGTCTAGTCATATGTCTTTGACCTATAGCAATGATTGTGTAAATATTAAACAAAAAACCTCTATCAAGATGGATTGCGTCACCAACGGAGAGCCAGTGCAGAATTCTAATTTTGATGGTTCTGTTGACATAGGAGATTCTTCACAAACTGTACCTTTGCCCCTTGAGAAGCCAGTTCATTACAACCAATCAGGAGAATCGTCTTATTCCACTATGGGAGAAAAAAATTACCTCCAAAGTGAATGTGAGTCCCCAGATAAAATTGTAAATAGTCCAATGATTGAAGATATGAAAGATTCTTTAAATAATGAAGAAGTAAGTAGATCAATCAAGCGGTATGTTTAAAATATGTAGCATTTTCTTCCTTAACCCCTAACTTGTGCGCTCGAGTTAATTTGAGCGCTCTAAACAGATCAAATTGTGCACACTCGAGATAATTCGAGCGGTGTTGTATTTTATGCTGCTGTAATTTTTCACACTTGAATATAATTGAGAATTGAAAATAATAATGTGAAAGCTAAGGAAAAAAATTGTTTTATTGATATGTATCATTTACATAGGATTGTAAGCTATAACACTCATTTAGTGAAGAATAAAATATAGCCTTTTTCCATGGAACAAAAGCGCAGTATATCAAAATTGACCACTAAAAGAAAAGTTGAACCAGGAGTTGAATAAATTTTTTTACATAAAAAGATGTATTTTTATTGGCTGGTTTTTTCCCCAAAAAATCTGTGCGTCAAGGGGTTAACTTTGTAAATCGTATCTGCTTTCATGTCAGGACTTTTTTCTATACAAAGATACCATTAGAAATGTTTTTCGATTGCTATAGACTAGCAGTTCCGAACTTTGATTGTGCTGACCACAAATTTTGTAAAAAAGGGAAAAAAATGAGGCCTGCTAATTAATAAATGTATAATTATAAAATATTAAGACTAATAGATGTCTATAGAGTTGTGGTGGCTCAGGGGATAGAGCCACCACAACTCTATGACCAGGTTCGAATACCAACATGGGTTGGTTAATGTATATATATTTCCCATTGGCAAATTTCAGTGGAAAAATACGTTGTAGAAAATTATGCCCGTGAATAAATAAGTTTCAACCCATGCGGATTAAATGGAAGAAACTCTTTTTTTTTTTAAGAAAAAGAAATATCTAATATTAAATATAAATTATAAATAATTTATGACTATGATTAAGTTTAAGTAATAATATTAATTTCCAAATTATTTAATAAATTATTTTTAAATCAATTGAAACAAATTTAATCAATTTATTAAGATTAAAAAAAAAAAAAACTGAAGTTCCTTTTAAATTTTAACACATAGTAGTACTTTATTTTATAATTATATAAAGAACTTTAAAAATATATCAATCAAATCACATATTGTATTATACTACAAATCACTTAGATTAACAGGTAGCATGTTAATTTTCACATCAAAATGCTGTAAAGGATGAATACTTAGCAACATACAAAACAATACTTAAATTTTTTTTCTCGATAACATGCTAACAGTATTTCTCAATAGATATTTTTAATACAGATTTAATTTTTACATAACTAATTAAGTAGTTAATTATAATTTATGAAATGAACCTAGCAATTTTTAAATGTTATTTTTTCTTCTTCTCAAATTACTGAATTTGCATTTTCAAATCAATAATTAATTTTAAGCAATTTTAAAATATTTGATAAATTAGATAACTTGAAAGCTATTTTACTATTTGAGCTGAAAATACGAAAAGATTTATTTAAAAAAATGACACATTTTCACGTATTGCAAAGTTTTTTTTTTTTTTACACTTTGATAGTTGTAAAGTATTCTGTGTTTTGGGTCGCTAATATTATAATTTTAGGTTAAAAATCTGTTCTTGTTATTTTATTGTTAAATGATATTGTTCTTTTTTTTTTTTTTAGAAAAATTAAATTGAAAACAAAATTATTATCTAAAATTTCTAAAAAAATGCATTGGTAATCAAAAAGATTTAATTATGAATTATTTTAAATGAGTGGAATTATTTTAAATGAGTATTTTATCAACTGAGAACAATTTTAACATAGTAAAATTTTTTAAATTAATATTTTTAATCAATACATTAATATTTTAAATACACATAATTAATGGTGCCGGCAGGTGGGTGCAAGCGGGTGCACTTGCACCCCCCTGCCTTTCTTTTTAAACAATGAAAGAGATACAGAAAAACAGTTTAGTCATAATAATTTTTTTTTATTAAAAATATTTTTATTCAAAAACAAATAATTAAGTAATTATTGATACATAACAATTAAGAAATTGTTTAATCGAATAAGAATTGTAATCGTCTTGTTTGCTGTCGAAATCTGTTTATACTTTTTCAATGAATTCTGAGTCATCTTTGATTCTTTTCTTATGCACACTAAGCATGCACAAACTATTTTATCTCTTGTGAGACATTGTAGACCGATTCCATGTTTTGATGTGCCGCATTGCGTTCAATAGTGCATGTCGTAGCTGGAAGAGTTAGGCCAATTTTGATTGCCTCTGCTACATCTGGATAAAGCAGTATGTCCTCAATAACTGAATCGATGTATTCGAGGAATTCATAAGAATTTTCTCTATTCCTCCACATTTCGTACCATGTTGTAGCCTCAGTGATGAAATTCGGTGAGAGAAGATCTTTATACATAGTATATATATGTTCTAAAACTTCAAGATATGACGCTTTGTCCAGTTTATTCATCGCATTCGGGTGAAGTTGTAAGAGTGAAAATGCTTTTCTTTGTGTAGAAGAAAAGCGGTCTTTCAACGAAGATATAATGGAGTCCAAATAAGGAATAAAAAATCACCTGAAAAATTCTTCTGCTTTTTCAGAAGGCTCATTCAATCTCTAAACTTGTCTAGATGCCACTCAATGTCGATTAATTTCAATGCTTAATTCTTTGCAAATGTATTCTGCTTTGGTGAAAATTGCAGTACACTCTTCAGAAGCATTGTTTCGATGAATTTGTAGCACATCTATCAATTAAACTACATAATCAGTTGCAAACTAAGGTAGACAATGTTAAAGAGCACAAAAAAAAAACATAATCAGTTACTTCTTTTAGATCTGTTCTTACTTTTTGTAACTGATTGCACACAGGTTCAAGTTTGGCAGAATAAGTAGCAATAACAAAAGGTGATACAATGTATGTTGGCATTGCAGCAACTGTTAAAGGTATATTAGCTTTCACTTTGGTGTTTTTGTTTGCCACTTTTTTGGTAAGGCCCTCTAAAGCTTTTATAATTGTAACGAACTTTTTAGAAAATCGTCTGGTACTCTTGTACTGACCAGCGTGTTTCACAGAGTAAAGGGATGTTAGGAATTTCTTTTCGTTTCAGGGTACTTTCTCTGAAAGTACTTTCTCGAGGCTAATAACTTCCTTCGTTGTTCCTATAGTATTCTGTACTTCCTTGACATAGTTTAGGCCGTTGATCACGAGATTCAATACATGATTGGCACAATAAAAAAACACAGCTTTAGGATCAATTTTTGAACGCCAACTTCTTGGCCAGCCAAAAAATTAAATGAAGAAAAAACTTAAATGAAGTATTGAACAAACATTCATTTAGCATTAAAAAATACTACTCTCGAAAATTTATTATTGTAAATACTGATTGAAGACTTAAAAAAAATTCTATTAAAAATTGAATATATAAATCTGTAAAAAAAAAGGAAGAATTAAACTTACTTTTTTCTATAAAAAATATCAGAATGCAGTCAATTTGTAAAATCTATTCATAAGTCGAACACACGAAAGTGATTTTTTTTATCTAAGCTGTCAAAAAAAGATTTTTTTCTTGGGCAGATATCTAAGCTATATTTTTTAAATTTCATTTAATAAAATGTAAATAATGTTATATTTTCTATTAGTTTTTTAGTTTAACAAAGGTGTATAACACACTGACTTCTCACAACTGTAAAACTTCATCAACACAATAAATACCAATGTTAAGCGTGCACAAACACACTAGTATACGAAAGTACTGTTTGTAGTTATTTGTGTTTCAAAGTCAGTAGCTATGCTAGTGCCATCAATACAGTTTCTCGAGGCAAAATTTGCTAGTACAAGAAATTCGTACTTTTCTTAAAAAAATATCTTGTTAACAATGAAGAAATGCCTCTTGAAAAAAATTAACAGATGAAAGTATATGCAATAACAAAACGAAATGTAATAACAGAATATTTTTAATTTTTTGGGGGTGGGGCTAGTTTGTTAGAGGGTTGCACCCCCTTTTATATTATTCTGCCGGCGCCCTTGCACATAATATATCAATTTATAAGTGTGTATTGCTTATGAAATTAGGGATAACATAAATTGAAATTTAAAATAAATTGATCTAATAGACTACTAGATTTTAATATTCTGTATAAAATTATAATAAGAAAGCTATGGTAGATCCAAGTATCTAAGTCTACTCCCTATTTTTGATTATGAGATAAAAATTTTTTGATATGTCTGGTGTATAGGTCGACTACTGAAAAAAACTAAATTTGAAAATTTCTAAAGATAATAAACAAAAATTTAAGTCTACACAATTGTCTCTAGTTAAAAATATTTTACGTCAAAAATGCTTACAAAAAGCAGAAAATTTTCATGATGTGTCAAATGATACTAAACATGCTTCAAAGTGTAGATTCAAATGTAATTATAAAATCTTTTGAAAAGTGTGGAATTTCAAATTTTTTGGATGGGGTGAAGAGGTTTTTGTGTGGGACGCAGCAGATTAGGATGATTTTGAATCCATTGCACAGTCGAATTTGTGTGACGACACTATTAACATTATTGAATCCGATAAAGATAATGTTCTGGAATTCTTAAATTTGTAGCTTTATAGTATGTTTTGATTGTATTTTGTTTTTTGAAATACTTTTAAATAAATTTTCCTAACTTATCTTACTCTTAATTTTTTTCTGCACATAGTTGAAAAAGCATTGTTTATTAAAAAAAATGATGAGAGAAAATGCAAAATGAATTGTATAAAATGTATTAAAAATAGTTTTTGAAATAAGTAAATTCATAAAGAGTTATTCATATCTCTCTTATTGTTTATAATGCATCAATATTTTACAATCAATGAATGTTCAACTTTAATCTCGCTCTATATGTCGACCCCTTGATTTTTGTAAATTTTTACAGGTTTGAAATGTTGGCTTATATGATGTATACAGTAATTTTTGAAAAGAGAAACATTTTTCTTTCTAGCACTACATTGAATTTTATTTTTTTCAAATTTGAACTATTCATTTATAAGTTAAATTTAAAAAATTTGCATTAATCAATTTAAGTTTCTTATATTTTATCTACAGGGTATCTGCGCACCTGAAAAGTCATGAGAAATCATGAAAAGTCATGAATTTCGGTATTGAACAAAATTTGTCATGAAATGTCATAATTTAAACTATTTTTTAAAAAAAATCATGGAAAGTCATGGATTTAGGTTGATGAAAACTCTAATTTTTAAAATGCAATTTACCAATTTCATGGTCATATCAATATCAATTACCCCATCTAATTTCATGGTGTTCCGAATGTCTGAATTTGTAACAAAATACCCACTCAAAGTCATATGTTATTAAAATATAAAGTACTTTTAGCAGGTTCTTTAAAAATTATGATGTTCTTTCAAAAAATGAAGGAAAAAACATATTTTCTAGAGCGAATTATCTTTGAAAACTTCTGTGATTTCAGAAATTTTTTATTATTTTTTTATTTTATCAATTTAAAATTCTAGCTGAAGCAAGCCAGTCATTTGCAAATTTTCTTAATTCTGAAATGAGAACAGAGAAATCAGGAGTATTTCTTTTCTTTCTGATGAACAAGAAAAGTATCTTTAAAATATAATTCTGCAGAAAAAAAGAAAAAAAAATTATTTGCTTTTGTATTTTTTCTGCTATTTTACTGCTTCAACTCTTTCCTTACTCAGTTTTTAAAATTTAAAATCTATTAATAATTAGATGCAGAGTATAACAGTTTTGGTTTTACCTATCATTTCAATTAATGTTATTATAATGCTTTTTCTAAATTTATTGTTGTGTTTTTGTCTGAGAAAATAGTAACTTCATTAAGGCATGAAAAATTATAGGAATTAGTCATGGGAAAAGTCATGAATTTAAAAATCTAAAATGTAGCTGATACCTATCTAGTTTCTTACTTTTATTTTCTTTATTTTCAACTCCTTTTACCTGTGTCCTGTGCAGCGTCTGGAAGAAATCCCAACCTTGCTCTTTATCTTGAAGAAGATTGAAACAAAATAATTGCAATTAGTGTGATAATTTAACCATACTATTTTGAAGGTTAAAATGCAAAATTTTGAAATTAATGAAAATAATTGTTTAGATTATTAGCCTGCTATCTGTCTGACAATATATTTTGAATGCATAGGTAAAAAAAAACACTTCAAAACTGATAATATCATTTGTGTAGTGCTCGAGTATGTCATGTATAGGATACCTTCCCCTCTTTTGTTCAGATCTAATTGTAATACATTGTTTAGATCTTTCATAATACACCACAATCTAAGAGTAAAGCATAATTTTTACTCATATCGTGTGTACAAATTATGCCCCACTTTTGGGCACCAGTGTACTTTTCATTTCTAATTTTTGCTCAGATCTAATTGTAATACATTGTTTGGATCTTTCACAATACACCACGATCTAAAAGCCTAATTTTTACGCATATCACATGTACAAATTATGCCCAACTTTTGGGCACTGGTGTACTTCGCATTTCTAATCTTTGCTACATGTATGAAGTGTCTAATTAATTATTACTATTAATTAATAAATCTTTAAAAATAATCTTTGCTTAGGATGGTGAGTCTGATTTTAGTGTGATTGAAAGTGATGGCGAAGCTGATGCTCTTTTAGAAGAATGTATTAGAAGTGGAAAAGCCCTTAAAAGTATGTGTGATACTGAGAAATATAGTTGTGCTTTAGAAGAAAGGAATGGCCTAATTAGGGTAAAATGTTTATTCTTTGTACACATTAAAATTTACTTCAAATATTTTATAGAATTTAAAATAATGGAATAATAATTTTGAATAGGAACTCGAGTCTGATTTTAATGGGTATGAAGGTGAGGACAAAGCTGAAGATCTGAATTCTAAAAGGGATAAAGCTGTTGGAGATATTGTCAAGCTTACAAATAAAAATGAAAAAAATTTAGAAGGAAAAAATGAATGTAAAAGTGAGGTAAATAGTTTATTGTAAATTTTTGAAGTGTTTCAAATTAAAATATGCAGCATGTGAAATTAACATTATTTGATTTTTAAAAAAAAATCACACAGCTGATGATTTCATAAATAGTCCGTTCTAAATTTTAAAAAAAATTATTTAAATTTTTAATTATTAACTTTCCAAATCAAATATATATGTACATAGATATGCACAGCAATACATTTGATAGAGTTAGTGTATTAACATATAACTTTACCATTTACCAGTTTCATGAAGGAAGATTTAACTTGGTTTTGAAAAATTGGTGTGCTTTTGATGGATTAAACATTATATAAAAGATATAATCTTTTATTTCTGTGCTTCAATTTTTTTTATTACCATTGTAGAAAATCAAGCTTTATTTTTATTAATTTTCCTTACAACTGAAAGACAACGTGTCTAACTTTTTTGACCTGCTAAAAAAAGAAATATTATGATTATAAAATGCATTGAGTGCAAAAAACACAAGAAAATAAAAATATTCAATTAATATTCATATTTGGGACTGTTGGATACATTCATTTTACTTTGCATGTTTTTTATTTATTATATTAAAATGAGTAATGGAAAAATATTCTTCAATCCTATAATTTATTTCATTTGATAACAAAGGCATTCAATTCGTTAATTCATGTATCTGTCACCAGAAATATAATCTACTACTGTGAATTTATTCTTTTAGTTCATGGGAGGATGGCTGGAATTTCTTTAATCCATGAAGAATTTAAAAGGAATTAAAATTCTTAATGTGTATGCTATAACCATACATGAAAAAAACTTGAATCTTTTTATTAGGGTCGACCCAACAAAAAGTGGGGCCCGGACAAATTTCATTTTTTGGGCCCAAAATAAGTAATAAATTGCATTTCTTTCAATTTATAACTTTAATAGCATGACAGGTTGATGAAATATGGTTACGAACAGTTTTATATTTGATTAATAGTAAATATTGATTTAAACTTTTAAAAAAATGAATATATACGCGAGAAAAAAACCAGCGTAAAATCTAAAAGAACTATAGTTTAAAAGTAATGAAACTTTTAAAAAAAAGTAGAATGTTGAATTTTGATTTAAGAGTACTATTGTTTATTGGAAGATTTTTTGCTGTGAATGAAGCATAAAAATTAATTTCTTATGTGCTTTTTATGTTTTTAGATCATATTTAAAACCTATACAAAGTATTAACATGAAAAAAAAATTATTATAATCGAAGAAAAATAAATTTTTTATTATTTTTTTAATGATCAGTTGCTACTAATTACTGAAATATTATTTTGCTATGAATGTCTTATGGCAAATTCCTTGATAGCGTTTTCAATACATAGTCTTTTGACAAATTAACTGATAAAATTGATAGTGAAGTAAATTTTTCATAACTCTTAAAAGTAGATCTTTGGTATTTTTCTCTGATCTCCTACTTTTAAAGATTTCTCCACTAAGACAACAAATAGCGTCTGCATTAAATAAACTTTTAAAGCAGTAAAAACATTTTTATTGCTTTAAAAGTAAATTATTTTTCTATTTAAATTGATTATTTTCCAAAATTGTTTTGTTCCTGGTAATACTTGGCATCAAATTTTGAGTTTTTTAAAAAAATCTTCTTCAGCGACAAAGCTGAAGCTAGACTTGCCAGCCTTTGGGCAAAACCAAAGCAGATATTATTTTTTTCGGAATTTATTTTTTAAGAATGAACTATGTTTACAAAAACTTTGCATTAAAATTATTTGTAACTTTATTTTCAAATTTTGGATTATTGTTGAATGATATAAAAGTAAAAAAGTTTGAACTAATGAGCCCTGCTTCTTAATTTAATAATCTTGTAAAAATGTTTAAATTTAATAAGAGCTTATGAGCATACGTTTACCTTTATAAACAATACCTTTACAAAACCTTTATAAGAGTCGTTCATAAGTTTATTGAGAAACCTTGTTTGATTTGCACTTATTTATTTCAAAACTGTTTGCATTAAAGTGTGTCTTTATGTGTGCTGTTTGAAAATGAAACTATGAAAATAAAGTTGTCTTTCTGTTGAACCAAAGTTGTGAAACATTGTTGTTTCAGTTTTATATATTAATTTTATTTGTCTTGTTTCTGACTAGTAAATGATAAATTATGTTTCTTTCTGAATGTAGCCAAATCAGATATTTTAATTATTGTTTTGCCCGGTGGTCGGAAGTAGCATGCTATTAGTAGTGAAACTACTGTAGTTGCTAAATTTTTAGTAGTTTGTAGTGTTGTGAGTAGTGCGATACAAAAAAAAACAGAGTTTGTAGTGACTCCTGGCAACAACTTTAAGAGTTAGCTTAGTAAGGAAACACGGTTCTATCACAACTAATTTTTTTAATTTTATTGGTACAAATCTTTGCAATGGACATAATCAGAATGCACCTGTGTGACCGAGCATCAAGAAAAATTACGTATTACTAATATTTAAACTAGCCATTATGAATATGCTAATATATCACTTAGTTCACTCTTTCAAATGCAAATGTACAGTTATGAAAAACTGACGTTATTTCAATGAAAAGGAACATATTTTTCGTTTGTTATTTTCAATGTACTTCATTGCGTTGAACAAATAAAAGAGCATTTAAACACGTAGAAAATTAGAAATATTTGAATTTTTAATAGCATTTTTTGAATTGATTATTCGCTGTCAAGAAAGGAATAAAAAGTAAAGGTTAAAAGATCAAATTTGTAAAAGATGGTTTAGATTAACAAACTGGCTCACGTAAACATGAATAAATATTTCTTAATTCTTCATGTTTAAAAAAGTTTTTATTTTATTTTTTTATTCTAAATCGTTTTGAACATGGGTTTAAATGAAGTTCATCAGCAAAGTTCATCAACAAAGCTCATCTCCTAAAAGTAGTGAAGTACTGACTATATTTCAAAAGTAGTTAGTAGTCACTACATTTAAAAAATACTAGTTTTAGCTGTAACTAGCTACATTTGTGATAAAATAGTTGTAGTTAACTTGCAAAAATATTGTAGTTTTAAAGTTCGCTGGTTTTGTCTTTACAAAGGTATCAAATTCTTTTATTTACTAACTAAGGCTTTTGAGTTTCTATAACATTTAAAAATAAATTGTTTTTATAGGATTCTAAGCTGGATTTTAGTATGATTGAAAGTGATTGTAAAGCTGTGCATCTTACTGAAAAATACCTGAAAGATAGGAAGTCAATTGAAGATGTACATAATATAAAGGGTGATAAACTTTTAGAAGAACAGAAGCAGTATGAAGAGGTAAAATGTTTACTTATTCATACTTTTCTTAACTTAGCTTTGAATTCTGTAAGGAATGCTGAGTCGATCATGAATATATAGATTTAATGTGATTATCCGATGAACTTTGACATGAAATTTCACCAAAGAGAAGTTGACTTGTGTTTTTTAAATTTTTTTATTCAATATTGTTTTATGACATTTTTTATGTGTTTTTATGTGTTCTGTAATGAACATAACTTTTTATGGGTTGCAAGATTGGTATTTTGCTGGCAGATATAAAACTTTGTTGCTGCTACCTGTATAAACAACCTAACTTAGTAATTTTATTTGTTTTTAGGCATTAAGTACTCCTGGATTTTCTAGACCCAAACATTGAAATGTATTCATATTCACTTTTACAAAAAAAAAGTGTACTTTTTATTTTACTTTCTTTGTTTTGACCCTTGCTTGCACTGTTCTCCAACCATCAAAATTGTTTCTCATTTAATTTTTTTAAAAATTAAAGCTGATATTTTTCAGAAAGTATTTTTCTTTGTTTATAAAATATATAATCCTGAATTTGAGAAATATTCAAGTGTGCTTAAGAAAAAAAATACTTTATAGATCATAGATTGAGTGTCTCAATTGAGAAGAAATAAATTAGAATTAATTCTACTCAATAATAAGATGTATATCTTTTTAGGAGTTCAATAGGAAATTATTTTTATCTTTCTTAAATTATTTTTTCAGGGGTTTAAAAATTTCAATATAAATGTTAAGATGCATATCTTGCAACATTTCTGGCGCTCTAGATTTTTTTTCTTATTACTTTCTATATCAGTTCATGTAGGGTCGACATCATTCAAAGCAAAAACTGAGAAAAAACTAATGAAAAATGTACTTAAAATTGCAATAACTTAAAAACAAATTGGAATCTTAAAAAAAAAAAATTGTGCTATGTTCATAAGTAGTAAAAGGTCATTTCAACCTGTCAAATTTTAATTTTTTTAACTTTCCTGCGGCTATAGATAGGTTTGCAGAGTATTTTTAACTGTAAGTTAGACAGTCAAAAATTCTCAAACTAATTTTTGAATGCCAAATTAATTTTTTATTCCACCATACTTGTAAATTTTTTTACCCTTCTTCATTATTGCAAGTTTCTAAGTCATATTGTTTTTGTGCAGCAAAATAAATGTAATTTGTTGGTTGAACACCGAAAACAACAGTGGCGTTAGTGGCTGTTATGATTTTTTAATGTCAATAAATAGTATGTTAAGTAAAAAAAATATTTTTCTTGGAGACATGGTTCTTCTTTTAGTTCTTCAGACAATTCTCTTTTTTTTTTTTTTGCATCAAATTGCACTTTTGATTTACTTTTTTTTTCTTTTATAGACAGCTGAGTTTTGTAACAGTTTGAATGAAAGTGATGATGAAATAGATGCCCTCTTAGAAGAATGCATTAGAAATGGAAAGCCTAATGCTGAAAAATCTGAGAAGGTTGTTAAATTGCAGCCAAATAAAATAGTGGTAATACTACCAATATAAATCATATTTCGCCAAATTTATATATATATATATATATATTTTTTAAAAACCAAAACTCTTTAACGGCATTCAATTAAANACACACACACACAGACACACATAATATTTACCCAGAGGAATTAATCTTGCTTCGTAATCATGACAATAATACTAATTTTAATTTTTTTAGATTTAAATGTTAAAAAAGAAGAAATTATCTGCATTGTTGATTTATATGATAAAAGAAATGATTTTGAATTTAATATAAATAAACTAACTGCATGGAATTCTAATGTTTCTAAAAATATTTAATTAAATACTATTTTGAATCAAATGAATAGAATTAAAAGAATTTGTAGTAATGTTTATTTATAGTAAAAATAAGTAGACAAACTCTTTAAAAATTTAATAAAAATTAGTGGATATCCAACTAATGTAATTAAACTCTATATAAAATCATTGAGTTAACTATATGTTATAATTAAAAATTTCTTTGTTTACTAAATTTATATTTTTATTATGTGCAAATCCAATTCGGGTAAATCAATGGCTAAAAGTCTTCTAATATTTAATAAAAAAAATTTTAAATAGTTTTTTTTAAAAATAAATGTTTTTTTTAATAAAATCTCACTCCCCCCTAATTTTTGTGAGTTTTTTTAGGTTAATAAGAGTATCTATATTTAATGTTACAATCTAATTTAGTCAACATTAAATTAGATTAGAAATCACTTTGGGGTCTAAAATTTCACCTGCCTCCTGACCAAACTATTGGGACCATTTTTTCTAGATGGCAGCTATCTTCCATATTTTGAGAGTTAGTTATTAAAATCCATTAAAATAAAGATATGTTTATTTAGAAAAAGCAGTTTTTTGTGTTTGATTGCTTACATTAAAATATCATCTACCTTTAAATTTGACCCTTAAACTACTAAGTTTGAGTCCTAGTAAATGAAAATTCGATCATTAGATCAAAAGCTATTCAAAGTTATTTTTTTGTGCATTGTACAGTCGAAAAATAAAATTAGCATTGTTTTTTATATGTTATGTAAGCTCTCCAGACCAAAAATTAGTCACCCTAGTGCTCAAGCACTGATGAATCGTTAGGTTTTGCTAGATGATGCTTTAGTTAAGTGACTTGCTCAGCTGTGTGCGCACTCGCAAGTGGCCATCAGAGATATTTTTGTTTTAATCAGAAATTGTGTGTAAATATGGGTATGTGTAAGGATGTGACAGAGTGGCAAAAAAGGGCAATTGTGTTTAGTCGTGCCCATGGTCATATGGTGAATGAAGTTGTTGGCTTTGTTGAAGTTACAGATGCGGATTGTTCAACTTGTCTACAAGCATCGGTGTAATACTTGGTGTTCACGAAAGACTCCGCCAGAATTGTGGTCAGAAGAAGATTCTACATGAAAGGGACAGGAGACGTGTTTCACAACTTGTCTTTTAAAATCGTTTCCAAACCCGCAAGGAATTGCTTCAGTTAGTGAATGAAGGTCCGTCCCAACCTGTTAGTGAGAGAACATTGCAATGGGAGCTGAATTTGGAGTCAAACATCTAAGAGGCCATTACTCACGCAGGCACATAAAGCTATGTCATTTCAGTGGATGAAAAATTACCGAATGTAGACTGCTGACTGGCAGAATGTAATATGATCTGACGAATCAAGTTTTTTTTTACCTTTATTCAAATAAGGCACATTGTCGAGTGTACTGAGGACCAGATAAAGCATTTCATCCTGACTGTGTGCAAGGTCAGGTTAAAGCCAGAGGTGGTTCTGTTATATTTTAGGGGTGTTTTTCTTATTATGGATTGGGCCCATTGACTGAGGTGGCTACTAACATGAACCAACTTGTTTATTTGAGCATTGTGGATGGTTAGCTGTTGCCTTTTAGTCAATTCAGTTATCATCTTCATGATGAGTATGTTGTCTATACCTCTATTTTTCAAGATGACTACAGCAAAGTTTATCGAGCTAGAAGAATATGTGACTGGTTTTATGAACACTCAGACACTCAATCACATCTCGACTGGTCTTCAAAATCACCTGACTTGAACCGAATTGAAAATTTATAGGGACTTGTTGGAAAAATGAGAGTAAAATGCTGGGATCACGCGTCAAGTTGTAAGTGGTGAATCAAGAAATGTTCCATCTGATTCTGTCGCAGAACAAAAAATTCTCAGGCAAGTGAGTGCCAACCTAAAGACATTTTCAATGCCAATGAGACGGGTCTTTTTTATCACCTGATGCCAATTCGGACTTTAGCTTTTAAATGCAAAAAATGTAAAGTGGGAAGAAAAAGCAAGGATCGCCTTACTGTGCTGCTTTGTGCAAACTCTGATAGAAGTGAAAAGATACCTTTACCTTTAGTGGTAGGAAAATCAAAACGTTACCACTGGTTTATGATGCCAATAAGAATGTGTGGACGACAGCCGAAATTTTTATTAGATTGCTGGAAAAACTAGACAATGAAGAGGCAAAAACGAAAAATGTTGTTATTCATTGACCGTATGTCCAGTGCACCCGTCAAACACTAAATTTTTGGTCAATATAAAATTTCACTTTTTTCCTACAAATTGCACAAGTGTGTATCAGCTATTGGATTTGGCCGTGATTAGCTGTTGAGAGTTTTCATGGGAAAATTGTAAATGACCCTTTGTTTTGTATAGCAGTCATAAATGTCCCGCAGTGGACTGATCGTTAAGACACGGTTCTCATCAGATCACCGAAGTCAAGCATCACTGACTGCGGTCAGTGTGCGGGTGGGTGACCCACTTGGATCAGTCTGCGTAGGGACCGAGGGTGTGCGGTATGGGTCCTCGTTAAACTGTGCTACCGTAAAGTGCTCGACTTCGCGTGCAGGTCGTTGAGCTACCGAAGCGGGGGTGCCATCCCCTCTGCAGAGGATCAAAATTGTGATGGCATGTCTTCGGATCATCCTCAGGGATGTTTCCCAGACCGTCGCCAATAGCCCATTGTGCAGCTCTAGTGTGACGTAAATCAACTACAACAACAACAGCAGTCATGAATAATTAAAAATAATATTTTCTGAACACAATCGCTAAATTAAAAGTATGCCACAGCAGTTAAAAGACTGAAAAAATTCAGAACCAGGCTTAAAGATTGATTACAGGTACTGTTGAAACCATGCCCATCCAAGCAATGCAGATTTTGACAAATAACAAATCCATTGACAATATTATTGAAGAAAATGAGACTTAATATTTGAGTAAAAATGTAAATATTATCCCAATAATAATGTAAAAAGTATGTCAATGGTCCAAATAACTAATTTTATCAGCCCATGATAAAATAATGAAATATTTTAATGTTCCATTGAATAAAAAAATTTGAGAAACACTGCTTTATATTTAATGCAAAGAAGAAGAAGGACTAATAAATACTCTTTCATTTTAATATTAAGAATTATGAAAAGAAATACAGATACTCATTATAAAAGAAAGAAGGTAAGGGAGATCTAAATAGAAGAATGGGAGTCCTATATTAAATATCTCTTCAGCATGAAGAAGAACAAGTTTTGCTGCTTTTAGATTTGCCACAGGACACAACTGGTTACGCTGTAATTATTTGGCAAATGGCTGCTGTATGAAGCATTTCTTATAAAGATATGTTTCATATCAATAGGTATTTTGAAAGTAGTATAAGCATTTTAAACTTACCAAACCATATTCAACTTTTGCAAATTCCCAATATTTCAAAAGAATTTAAACTGCAATGTTTTTGTTTATAATTTAGTAAGATTACAATTTCCACTCAGTAGTGATATTTCAGTTTTTAATTGTGATTTACTTTTTAAAAAACTTTTTTTTTAAATTTTATTTATTTATTTTAAATGGATTTATGGATTACTTCATAATTTGACACATATTTTTATAATATTTTAAATGTTTTTGCCTAAATTAAAAATAGTTATTGTAGTAAATTCTGTACCAAAAGATGTGTGCAGTGTAGAATACATTTATTATACCTATGCAAGACCCTAAATTGCTGGTTTTTCATTAAAAATTGAATTATTTTAATAAAATTTATAAAATGTTATTTTTCATTTCTTTTTTAAAATTTTATCCATTTTAATTTTATTAATAATTAAGTACTATATTTAAGTAATGTTCTATTACAGAATTTTAATTCCAATGAGGTTCCACAAGTCTCAGTTGTAAGGGAGCCTTCTGTTGAAAGAAAAAACTCTGTTCCCAAGTTCAATTTTGTACAAAGATCTCAAAAGCACTCCGTAAGTGAGAAGCTAAAGAAGACAGCAAAAGTATATGATTCCGCATCAAGTAAAGTCTTAAAACCAAAAATTTGTAACACCTCACCAAATAGTAAACAGAAATTGGAATATTACCAGGGCAACACATCAACAAATGCTTATCAGTGCTGTAATGCCTTCCAGGTATGTAAACAAATCATAATATAAATAGATCTTTTTGTCTGAGATCGCAAAATTTAAGTCACTTTATTTTATATTTAATTTATACTTATTTTATACTTGATCAATACTTTTTACAGAGTTTCTGCCCACCTGGAAAGTCATGAAAAATCATGAACTTGGGTACTGAACAAAATTTGTTATGAAATGTCATGATTTGTTATGAAATGTCAAAAAATCATGGAAAGTCATGGATTTAGGTCGCCTTAAAATCTAACTTTTAAAATGGAATTCCCGACCCCTTTCATGGTGTTCCGAATATCTGAATTTGTAATAAAATCCCCACTCACAGTCATATTTTATAAAAATATATAATGTTTTTATCATGTTCTTTAAAAATTATGGTGTTTCAGAAAATGAAAGAAAAAACATTTCTAGAGCATATCTTTTAAACTTCTGTGATTTCAGAATTTTTGTTATTTATTATTTTTATTTTATGACCAATTAACTGAAGCAAGCCAGTCATTGGTGAATTTTTTAAATTCCGAAATGAGAACAGAAAGATCCGGAGTATTTCTTTCTTTTCTGATGAACTAGAAGAGTACTTTAGAATCTAATTCTGCAGAAGAAAAAAAATTTATTTACTTTTGTATTTTTTTCACTTATTTTATTGCTTCGATTCTTTCTTTAACTCTATTTTTTTACAATTTAAAATCTATAAATATGAAGATGCAGAGTATAACAGTTTTGGTTATACCTATCATTTCAATTAATGTTATTATATTGCTTTTTAAATTTATTGTTCTGTTTTTGTCGGGAGAAAATAACAACTTCGTTAAGTCATGACTTCGAAAATCTAAAATGTACAGGTTATCCGCGCACCTGGAAAGTCATGAAAAACCGTAGAAGCTTGTGGATTTCAATATTGAACAAAATTTGTTATGAACTGTCATGATTTTAACTATTTTTTTAAAAAAAAAATCACGAAAGGTCATGGATTTAGGTCGCCGAAAAATCTAATTTTTAAAATGTAATTTACCCCTTCCCCCCATTTCATGGTGTTCCGAATTTCTGAATTTGTAACAAAATCTCCACTCACAGTCTTATTTGATTAAAATATAAAATGCTTTTATCGTGTTCTTTAAAAATTATAGTGTTTTTTCAAAAAATGAAAGAAAAAGCATAATTTCTAGAGTGTTACCTTTTCAACTTCTGTGATTTCAGAATTTTTGTTATTATTTTTTTATTTTTATTTTATCAATTTAAAATTCTAGCTGACGCAAGCCAGTTATTGACAAATTTTTTTATTCCGAAATGAGAACAGAAAAATCAGGATTATTTCTCTCCTTTCTGATGAACTAGAAAAGTATCTGAAGAATGTAAAAATATTTGCTTTTGCATTTTTTTCCAACTATTTTATTGCTTCAACTCTTTTTTTTTACTCTGTTTTTTAAATTTAAAATCTATAAACATGAAGATGCAGAGTATAACAGTTTTGTTTATACCTATCATTTCAATGAATGTTATTATAATGCTTTTCTGAATTTATTGTTGTGTTTTTGTCGGAGAAAATAAATCTTCTTTTAGTCGTGAAAAATTCTTCGAATTAGTCATGGAAAGTCATGAATTTGAAAATCTAAAATGTAGCAGATACACTGTTTTTAACAAATTAAAATTTCAAAAAAAGCTTGAGTTAAGTTCATTAACAGAATGACCCTTTCACGACTTCAAATTTCTCATTTGTAATTTAATTCTTCAGGACTGCAGTGCAACACGCATGGTTTAACAACTGCTACCTGTTTAACAATTAATAATTCTCAAACTAATAATCAAATGTTACTTTTTTATTCCCCCGCACTCTCTGTACATTCTATGCACCTTGTGTAATTTGAAATTTCTATGTCTTATAGTTTCTGTGCATCAAGACAAAGTTGAACACTTAAAACAGCAGTGGTCCTTACAATTTTTTTAATGTAGAGAGATAATATTTTCCACAACCAAGTAATACTCGAAAATTAAAATAAGACCATTTAATGTTTAATAATTAACAATAAAAAATAAAGAGAATTTGCTCCTGGTATTTGAAAATGGAGTTGAAAATATAAAGGCTTCACTATCTTCAATAGCTTAGGGAACAGCTAAGCTTAAATCCGGCCCTGTTTATATGTAAAGGTTATTTATTATCATTATTACGAAAATGTCATATAATTTTTTAAAGTTAAAAAGAGAAATTAATATTTCCAGTAAGTCTTCCAGGTACGTATGCAAATCATAATTTAAATAGATCCTGTTGTCTGATATCATTAAATTTAAGTCATTTTATTTTGTGCTCATGTTCTATTCTGTAAGATATGATAAAAGAATTGTTGTTAGTGTGTTCTGTTGAGCAGCAAAATTAAAAATTATTTATTATTTTGTTGTTTATATGTAAAGGTTATTTATTATTGTTCTCAGGAATATGTTACATAATGTTGAAAAGAGGAAATCAAAATTTTTATTTAAATAATTCTTGTAGTTTAAGTTGGTTAATTATTCACTGCATTGATTAATTTTTTTTATTGATTTTTATAATTTCAAGTCCAGAAAAAGTCAAGAATTTATGTTTTAAAAAAAAAATATAAATGCTTTTTATGCTTACAACATTGCAATTGTAAACATAATCGATTACTTTTAGTGGCCACCATCTCTTCTGTATTATCGATTATTTTGCGAATAAGTTTTTCATAGATTCTTATCTGGTTTTAAAAAGTTAATAGTATTGGGTAGAATAGAGTAGCAGTTCCCAAATGATGTTCCAAAAGTTTAAATTTTTTAAATTTGTTCGGATTTTTTAAACAACTTGTGAGTATATTTCAAAACAGTAAACCCTAATTTTTTTGATAGTTTTTTTTAATGAAACGCCAGTAAAAAAAGAATTTTGCAAAATTTAAAATAAATTGCATCAGTATTTCTCATTGAACTTTTCAATTCGAAATAAAATTACCGAATTCAAGAATAATGAATTATGTTTCGCTGATAACTGTTCTCAGCAGTTATAAGAGTTTTTTTTAAAAACTATAATTTAGCTTATGTTATTCATTTTCAGGTAATGTATGCATCAAAAACTAATTCAGAATTAGACTAGATACCACTCCAGACCTTCAAATTCAATTGTTCGACATAAACCTACTGTTTTAAGAGTTATATTGATAAAACAAATATTAAAAAAATGTCATTCTTTTATTATTGGCAAAATAATTAGTAGTCTTTATTTGGTTAAATCCTGACTGCTAAAAACTATATTTTCGGCATTATGCCAAAAGATGCTCGATCATTTAGGGTTCCTTAGTCATAAAAAATTGGGAACTATTGGAATAGAGTATGCATCAAACTTGCATCAAACTTCCTTTTCTGAGTTGTATAATGTTACATATGTTTAAAAGATTAAATTGTTGAAAAGTTTTTATGCATTTGAACAGTATCTAGTAGAACATTGTTCTTCATTTGTATGATTTTAACAAATAACTTGGAGGTTCTGCCTCTTCTTGCTTCAGTAAAAAATATTTTTATCCATGTTTTTATTCCCATTCTGATGTATAAGTCGACCAGTTTTATAATTTCTATTTTAAATAACTAGATAACAAATTTCTGGTGTGTCGGATATGTAAGTTGACCGCTGAAAAAACCAAGTATGAAAATTTTTGAAATAAAAAAAAAAGACATAAGACAATGTATTGAGACCACAAAATTAAGTAAAAAATAATTTGCATTGTTCTCTTTAGACAAAATACAATTGCTCTTAAATAAAGGTGCTGTGAGGCACCCTTTTAGAAATGTAGTTTTAAGTATTTAAAAAGTGTGGAATATAAAATTTTTGGATGAGAGGAGAGGAAGGCGATTTTTTGTGAGACTCAGAAGATGAAATAGAATTCATTGCAGATTGGGATCAGTATAAGTGATACTGTTAATATTATTGAATTTGACGCATATGATAATCTGAAATCTTTAATTTGAAAGCTTTGTGGTGTATCGAAACAGTTTTGTAATAATTTTCGAAATGTTCTTGAATAAATTCTCTAATTTCTCTTATCCTTAATTTTTTTCTGAAAATAATTTAACTATTTGTTTCTAAAAAAACTTTTATATGTAAAGAAAGTATAAGGAGAGAAAATTAACTGTATATAACATATTAAAAATTGTTTTTGAAGGGAGTAAAATGAATCAGTGTTGTTCATATCTATCTCATTGATTTTAATTTTACGTTCAACGATTATCCAACTTTATTATCAGTGTATAAGTTGACCCCATTATTTTCGTAAATATTTTGGGGTTTGAAAAGTTAACTTATTTACTAGGAATAAAATAATTAATATTTATTTCTTAAATGTGTGATGCATTTCTAGAGTTGAGACAACTATTTTTATAGTTTCTCTCTGCCCTTTTTCAAAACAATTATTTGCCATTTTTTAGAAATAGTATTTAGTTTTACGTTTCTGTATTTTATTTTCTCTAAGTTTTTATTTCTTAAATAAGTGTTTTTTTTTGTAACTAATAAAGGGAAGGAAGTGCCGATTAGATCAAAATCAACGTTCGTGCCATGGAATGAAACCTTATAGGTCAGAGAATCTACCAGAGCGAGCATCTGATCCTATGAAAAAGTTGCGGAAAGAGATTTTAATTGGTCTTTATAGAACTTTGGTATGTTTTTTCCCTTTCTTTCATTTTTTTTTATAGTTTTATTATTCTATGAATATTCATTTTTACATTTTTTGATTAATTTTTTTATTTCAAAATCTGAATTATGCTTAAGTACTTTGTATACAACTAAATAAAGTTTGTTTTTATATTTAATAAAAAACCAACCAATTTACCAGCTTTTAATGCATAGCCGCCAGTTTGTAGAATGATCGCTAAACATTTTATTAAGTTATAGTAAATGAATTAAAACTTGAAAGATTTTTCTGAAAACTAAACTTGTTCTCTAATACATAAAAACATAACTGCATAATTAATTGCTCTTATATATATATGTTGGATATATTGATTTGTAAAGGTTGGTAGAATAATTTTTTTTTAAGACTTCAAGAACCGAAATTTATACATTACATTATAAATCTTCTACCACTGAGAAACAGCCATACAAGTTTGCACTTATGCATATTTAATGCAATATTTGACAATGATTTAATGCAATATTTCAATATTTGACAATGATAGAAAAAGATAGTTTTGGATAGTTCCACATAAGTATTGTAGTTTCAATATTTGACATTGTAATGTACAGTGATGATGTTAATATGTTAACCGCTTCCCTTACCAATTTTTTTAAAGAAAAAAAAATGCAGAAAATCAGCATTTTTTATAAAATTTTATTAATAAATGCAAGGAACTAAAATAAAACATAATACACAAGTTTTAAGTTGAAATTTAATTTTTTGTTCTGTGTGAAAAACACTTAATTTACCTTCAGTTTACTATCCGGAGTTATCTCGGGCAAATGAAAAAAGTTTAATAGAAGTCTTTGTGTGATAGTATTTTAAAACAAGGAGCAATACAAAGTGATATTTTATAAACCCCAGTGAAAGTGTTACGCCTTTTTTATTCTGTGTAAATTCAGCAAACCATTGTATATACATTCGCACAAAACACGTGTGCATTCCCACAACCCAACAGCAAAATTCCCAAACAAAACTTGGCGCACTTCAATTACAGCAGATTATTATCAAAGGTCTGTTTAGAAAAATTTGGATCCGTTAACGGACCCTTCACCAAATATCTTTTCATAAAAACAGACCCTTCACAAAATATCTTTTCATAAAAAAGGACCCTTCACAAAATATCTTTTCATGAAAACGGACCCTTCACAAAATAATTTATCTTTTAATCGGACCCTTCACAAATTTGTTTATCTTCATTATTGTTTTGTTAATCAAATAAACCCTTCCTGGGGGAAGAAAAAAAAGAAAGACTGTTCGAAACAAACTAAGTTTTCCAAGTTTCTCAAAGTTTAAATTCCAAATGTAGTATTCAAAGGAAATATTTCTACTTTTACAAGCATTGTGTGCATATTGTTATTGATATTAAATGATAATTTTTCTTGTAAATAAATAATTGATCAATTTATATTTATTCATAAAATTAATTATTCGAATATTATGTAAATAAAAATTAATTTCTGGCAATTTAAAAAAAAAATTATAAATTTAAAAATTGTTTAAGTTTACTTAATGCGTAACACATTTAAAGTGATACATAACTAAATTGTGTTATTTAGAATATGTGAATTAAAATTATTAAAAATGTGAGTGATTTTGCTTCCATTATTCGCCCTAACTGAATATTCTGTGTTGAGCAGTATAGCTAAATACCAAATATTTGTATGTTGCATCTCTAATTTAGTAGCAGTAATTGTTGAACATAATCTTGTATCTATTTACAATTTAAAAACTTCTTGAAAAGGAATTTAGCAATTTTTGCAATAACAGGACCCCATTTGCTCAAATTAACAAAAGCTGGACCCTGGTTGAAAAATGTGACTTAACGCTTAATTTATATTCACAAATTATGAGTAGTTTTTTTCACAATTTTACAAAAACAGGACCTTTCACAAAATGTCTGGACAAACCCCTGATTATTATTATTATAATTTTTCTTTTTGCTTCCGGCTGCATAAAAATTTGATAAAACAAAACATACTGACAAATTCTGGCTCTGCCCAGGTTTTCTCAGTATTATAAATATTTGCAATATATATTTATATATATACCCTAGTTAACTCAAAATAATCAGGGATGCGATTAAGCAGAATTCAGTATTATAGTTATAACATTTTATGACATGATTTTACTTCTTTACAGAATGATGATAAACCAGATAAAAGCTTAAAATCATTGAACTCTGAATGTGAGGATGATGATATGATTAATCAATGCATTAAATTAGGAATGCCTGATAGAAGTCCCAGAAAACAGTTCACACAATCTCCATCAAAAACAAATCATATTCACTCAATGTGCAAAGCCAATGACAAACACTTCACTGAATATACTTCTTCGCCATCCAGAAATCAGCAAGTTTTTGCACAGTCGAGAACTGGGACAAGACCTCAAGAATTCTCCCATTCTGGGATGCATCTTGCTAGGCTGAATCAGGCACAAATCCAATCGAAAAATCGCCACACTCCTCCATCTTATAGTAATCATTTTCATCCTAGGAAGAATCAGTCTTCTCACACAACCAAGCATCAAATTCTAAAAGCCAACTCCAAACACCATGTAAGTGTGTACAATATTTAAGTTGAAATATGAAGTACTCAAATTTACTTAAAATATATTGTTTTGTTTAGTTCTGCCGACTATTTGTTTCTTATATTCTAAATAATTAATGCATACTAGGTTATAAGAATCATTATATGTTTAATAAGAATCTTAATTGAGGCAAATGGATATCTGCAAATGGTTTCAACAATCAATAAAAATTGTATTTTGTATAAAAAAAATTGTTTAAAATTTTTTCCAGAAAAATATATAAATGATTATTTTAAATGTACAATTTTATCTTTCAAAATTAGGGAGGTGTTAATTTTTGAATCTATATTAATATCAGATTAGTGGTTACTTATGATAACCCTCTTATTGTTGTTATTTTTTACTTAGCTTCTTATTGTTTGCAGTGACATTGCAAAGCATAGTTTCTTATTATTTTTTTTACTCCTACAACAATGCCAGAGGTGATTTGTCTTGATCTATGCAGAGTATATAAAACATAGTCTTTACATTTGTGGTAGTCATGAGTGTATGTTGAAGCACCGGCCTCACCGGCCTCAGCAATCGCAAAAGTGTCAGCAGATTCTCTTGTCAGAATAGTTTTAAGTTCACAGAACTTAGAGCTAGATAGGCCACCAGCATTTCAAAAGAGTGCAGTAATGGCAGTCGTGTTTGGGCACTGAAAAGGACCTTTTCCTTTAACTCTTAAATTGCAGATTCTCTTGGAAGGGCCTCTTCTCTTTCAACTCTGAAGAGGCATGTCGTTTGAGCTGCGTTGACAAATGCTGTTACTCATTTGGCACTACTCAGGGAGCTTGTGTGGTTCAAAGATTACCACTGACACGAGAAACTATACTCCCCGTAACTCCAGTCTCCAAATGTTTTTTCTTTGAATTGGTGTGAGGAGAATAAAATGACAGTCGATGTTGAGCAGACTGTCTGCCAGCTTTTTAGTTTGTCAACCAAAGACCATCTGGTTTCTATTAGATATACAAATCAAGATCTTTGTGAACAAATTAGTTTTTGCTTCCTGAGTGTTTTTCTTGACGATAAATTATCCTGGAGAACACATGCTGAAGAAACTGTGAGAAAAGGTGAAAATAGTTTTAAACTCTCTAAAAGATTAGCTGGTGTCACCTGGGTATCTTCACCCGATTTCCTGACCATTGTTTACAAGTCCTACATAAGACGTGTGTTTGACTATGGCGGCGAACTACTTGCTACTGTATCCAAAAGTGTTTGTGACAGGGTGGGTAAGGTTCAAAATAAAGCCCTAAGACTTATTACTTCTGCAGCCTGCTCAACTCCTTTCACTGCCTTGGAAATTCAATCAGGGTTTAAAGCCTTGTAGAGAAAAACAGTTAAAACAGTTCAAAAAGTGTAAAAGACTTCATGGTAAATACTGGCAAAAGATTGTACCTGTTTTAAAAAGACTAAAAACTCAATCTTTTTCTCTCCAAAGCCGAAGAACTTATTAAATAAAAAATAAAAGACCTTTCCCTCCAACCATTCTGTCATAATAAGAGATTCCCTCCGACTTTTAGGAATTCCTTATTTGAATCTTTCGATTGATATCCAACAGACAAAACGCGATGCTATGTCTGATCTCCTTCGTGCTCATGCACTTAAAATTATTACTAATACAAGGGTTGTTACTTTTAGGAAGGGCTGTTTTGCTGTATACTCTATTAGGTGATATGTGCGTTACAACAAGTGCTCATGTCGTGCCCTGGCATTCCTTGAGTGCAACTGTGCTCAGTTGCAGCTGTGTAGGTAAACTGTATGGTCATCTCTATGTCTTTAAAATGTTAAAATTTAACAAATCGCCCTCCACGCACGAAATATGGTCAGTGATGCGTTTTTAGTCGGCAAAAAACCTGTCTGCTGCATACATTCACTGGTAGATTTGTGAAGTTACGATGTTTGAAGTTACAAAATTTCCTACCAGACAGGGAAATTTGCTACTCTATGACATTGACTCTCCGCAGCTCAGATCCCAGTTTTATTGGACTGTTTTGATAGGGAAGGTTTAGACCACCCCTCCCTACAGCTCAGACCTTGTGCTGAGTGATTTTAATCTTCTTCTGATATTTCCATTTTGGCAACAATCAGTACAACGATGACAAATGCGTGAAAACCGCCTCTTGGTTAATGGAACAGACGGCAAGTTTGTATGAAGAGGGCATTCTAAATCTAGTTGTAAGACATGATTAGTGCTTAAACAAACTCAGCAACTATGCTGAAAAAAAAGAGAAACACATGTAGAATCTGGAAGTAAATTTGCTTCTTGAAAATTTTCTTTCGTCTGGTTTTTATTTTCCAACTTACTTAAAAAACAGCCCTCGTAGATATCCAAAAGAAACTTAGCTCCACATTTGCACTGATGGGTCCTCTTAAGAGGATTCTTCTTCCATAGCTTTTTTTATTGTAGAGACTTGTTTGAGATTTCTTGTTCGGTTGTCATAAATGCCTTTTAATTTTGAAACTGAAATCGAGGGAATTAGACAATCTGTTCCACATCTTTCCAGTTGTACCACTTCTCCCGATCATGTTGTGTTTCTCTTTGACTCACAAGCTGCCAGGCTTTCTCTTTGCTCATTTTAGAAAATCAAGTCAACTCTTGTGAAAAAAGTAGAGTGAAGATGGACAATCTTATCAATAATGACTGGGTAATTCTTTTCCAATATCTCCCCATACATTGGGACATTCCTGGAAATTTGAGAAGCGATCGCTTGGCAAAAATCAGCTCTAGATTATCCCAACCTGCTTTTGCTCGCTTGCAACCAGATCTTCACCACCATTGTGAAAGTGATGCTGCTGGAAGATGTGGATGCTGCAGGAAAGATTTGGTCCAGCCTTCTCTGTAATCCTCCCCCGACGGATTTTCTCAGCAAATTTTTGTACGTTGCCTGGTCACGACTATCTTCAGGATCACCTTCACCAGATTTGTGTTTCGAAAGCTACTGAGCGCCCTCTGTGCTCTTCAGGGGAAGTTATGAGTTTTGGACACTTGACAAATTGTGCCTCTATGACCAACACAATTTAACCTATTGGCTGTTTTATACTGAGCTGCTAGTAAGGAAATGGCTTATATAACCATTCCCGACGTAGGAAATTTTTTTATTTATTTATTTTTGTTATTTCTGGAACTTTTAATCTTAAAGGTAATCCCCCCAATTCTCTTGCTGATTGATACTTTGAAGTATACTGTTTTTAATGTGATGTAGCAATTATAAAACATTTCTTAGATTTATTGCTGATATATATGTTTACTTAATATTTAAATTTCTCCAAAATTTTTTTTTCATGTCCCTTGATATGCACTGTGTAACACACTTTTCATGTGTGATTTTGCTGTGTTATATCTCTAAATGTTTGTCATGAATAGATATTGCATTTGTGAAACAAATTTTTAGTAACTTTATTTAAAAAATGTGTGTATATATACAATAGAGTCTTGATTGTTTGAGTTTCCCATAAATCTCAGCTAGTGAAACAAAACTGTCTTGTTCTTAAACAATGCCAACACACACAACACATGGAACGATTATGCGATTGGTTTCACGACAATTACTACGACTGAATAATGAAAATAGAAAATTTACAGGAAAAAAGAAAACAATGATAATATGAAAATAACAGCCAAAGTGGATGTCGTCAGGGGGTACCAGCTCCAGAAATCACAAAAATGCAAAATCTTTTATTGACATCAAAGAGCTAAATTTTCATGAAAGTGGTATTCAAAAACTGGTAACATGCTGACAAAAATGTGTTGATTGTGATGATTTTTACTTTGATTAATAAAATAGTTTATGAAAAAAAAAATATTCTTAATTTAATTAGGCTTAAAAATTATGCTGAAAAATTATGCATTTAAGAGTCCAACATTTCATATGTAACAACTTAATACTTTTACTTCATCTTTGAATAACTTACAAAATTGGATAACTAAAATTAAGTTTTTAGTTGCCTATAGAAATTAAATATTTTTAAACTTGAACTGTTACTAATTTATTTTATTTTTGAATTAGCATCAAAAGCTTTCAAGGAAAGAAGAATTTTATAACCGAATTGAGGAAGACTATGAGGAGACTGAAAATGATATTCTTCAACAATACATTCAATTAGGAATGCCAACAAAGTCTAGGAGACCATGTAGCCAAACAAAAGAGATCAGAGGCAATTCTAGTTATCAGAGATATGATAAAAATTTGGTATATTAATTTAGTATACAGTTTAAAAAAATAGCATCTATCTTAGGTGAGTTGGAAAATCCCCCTTTTCACCTTACGCCAGACTAATAGGAAGGACTGATATTTTTTAAGCTTATTACAATCTGCTCAGGAACCTTTATTATCATTAGCTCGGTGAATTAATAAATCAGTCTGGGCTTATTGCTGCTCTCACTTCTCTAGTTTCATTGCAAATGGCGTGGAATAAATCAAGCTAACTGAGCTATAAATAATTTACTTTCTAATGAACCTAAAGACCTAAAACTCATTCCAATAAGCCTAAAAATTGTTAAACTGAATGGAAAATACTGGAGACTTTTAAGGACTTTTTAGTTATCCTGATGTGTTGCAAATTGATGTCACTTTTCACTTTACTGAGTGCGGGATTTTCCAATTCAGCTGTGACATATCTATTAAACTGTGGTACCTTATTATATCTTCTGTAATTATCATGGAGGTATAAAAAAGAAGTCGGTACTGCCTATTCTTCCATGTAGGGACAATGAAGTCGGCGTAAAAGCCGTTATACTACTTACCCAATGAGAACTGCTCCAGATTCTCTTTCCTCATATTTGAAACTCAATTTTTAAAGAAATAACCTCTTTTCTTATATCTTAAATTAAAAATATAATTAACAATAAATTTCGTAAACTGCATCTTCTCCTAACCTAAAGCTATTGAAATTTCATAATAGAAAACTAAAAAAAAATTTATAAACAACAATTTTCTATTGTGTCCAAAATTCATTTATTAAATTTTTAAAAAAAATCGACCTCTTAAGAAGAAGAATAAAATAATAATATAGCAATATGGCTTTTGTTCTTTTTGGCGTAACTTTTTACTATATATTTTTTTAAAAAAATTAATCAAAATATGCATCTGAAGCACCCAGACTGACTTCTCTGTATTTTCAGACGTTACTGTAATCCATACTGTTAAAAAAAAAAAGTACAATAAGATAATAAAAAGTTACGCCAAAAAGAACAAAAGCTATATTATTATTTTATTCTTCTTCTTAAAAGCTCGATTTTTTTAAAATTTAATAACTGACTCTTGAACACCATAGAAAATTTTTGTTCATAACTTTTTTTTAAAGTTTTTATTATGAAATTTCTATTGCTTTAACTTAGAACAAGATGTTTACAAAATATATTACTAATTATATTTTTAAATAAAGTCATTATATTTTTAATACTTCTTAAAAAACTATTTTCATTTGATTTTTAATTATTTTTTATTTTTAATTTAGCTATTTGTAAAGGTTTCATTAATTAATTTGGTAAAGACATGTAGTTTTAAAATTAGTATTTTAGTGCATGACTTAAAATAAACTTTTAAAAAATAAAATATGTTTTCTTTACAAATAAAAAAACTTAGCTCTTCAATATGTGGTATTTTTTTAAAAGAAAATTGAAAAATAGGAATAGGTCTATAGTATATTTTCATATCATTAAAAACAATAATCCATTTGAAATAGTTTATTAAATAAGAAGCATTCTAAATGAAACAGCAAAAACACTGTCACAAATTTTCTTAAGAACTGTTTTTCTAATTTGCAATTACTTTAATTATTTTCACAGTTACCCACTATATTTTAAGAAGATTCATTTAAAAAAAGTATAGTTAAAATAAAATACGCAGAAATATTTTTAAAAAGTATTCCTCTTAAATGTTATGTTACAAAACTTAGGTAAGAAATCACCAACATTATCACTCATTTGTGCTTTTTTTTGTTTTTTTATTGACTTTTTTAAAATTAAATGCAGGGTTGCCACAGGCTACTAAAATGTAACTATTTGCTACTATTTTCAGGCTTAGGCGACTATTAGGAGACTTTTTTTACTCTTGGCGAAATTTTTCCGCAAAAATGAACGTTACTTTTCAGAACGTTAATAAAAGGAAGCAAACTTTTATACAATCATTTGTGTCCAAAGAGCCAAAAATTTAAATTTCCATTGGATTTAATAAAGTACTTGTTATATGTTCTCTTTGAGTGGCAGTTATGTTATTTTTGATTGTTTTTTCCTTCTATTAACATTCATATTTTATTGTAATTCGACTTTTAATTAGTATTTTCTAATATGTATACCTTTTATATTTGTACAAAACTTTTTTTTAATTGGATCTTAGTTAGGACTGGGCGATAAATCGATGTATTGCGAAATATCGATTAAACGCATATATCAGTAGGCCGATGTAGTGACTTTTGTTGTAGGCAATGAATCAGAAATCTGATTTAAGCCGCCGGAATTAGATTACAATCGTGGTTTAACGATTTAATATGCAAGGATCCATGACTAGGCTAACGCTGTTTCCGCACTAATGAAGACGATTTTGATTTCGTCTTGCTGCAGAGATTCAGATAGCATTTTGCTATTAAGATGTTAGTTTTGTGACGTTGAATGACGAAGTGCGAATTGAATCAGAACTCCAGGTTTCGTGCCAGGATCAGCGTTGTAATATGTAGAACGCAATGCATAGTTTCTTTATGTCCATTTTTGTCTTTGGGATTTTGCGTTTTTTGAAGATTATTTTCAATGGGACTTAAGTCATTTTGCGATCGTTGTGCATTTTATTTCGTCGGAAATAGTTGTTGGGTTTCTTGTAAATTATTTTCAGTGAGACTTTTGCAGCGATCGTTTCGTTCTACATTATTTCATACCATTTTTTTTTCTGTCTGGGTTTAACGATTCTTGTCAATTATTTTTAGTAGACCTACTGTTACTTTGCGATTGCTGCACAATCGCTGTTATCTTCAATTTTTGTTCTGAACTCAATAGATCAAATCATTGATTTTTTTCAATTATTGTTTTTTTATTTTAAGTGATACAATTTAATAGGGGTATTTTGTATTTAACTTTGTTATAAAAAATTAGTTTTTTTAAATTTATTAAATGTAGTTAAGTATAATAATTTGATTGTTTTTCAACCAATAAATGCTCNTTAAAAACAATAATCCATTTGAAATAGTTTATTAAATAAGAAACATTCTAAATAAAACAACAAAAACACTGTCACAAATTTTCTTAAGAACTGTTTTTCTAATTTACAATTACTTTAATTATTTTCACAATTACCCACTATATTTTATGAAGATTAATTTAAAAAAAATATAATTAAAATAAAATACACAGAAATATTTTTAAAATGTATTCCTTTTAAATGTTATGTTACAAAACTTTGGTGAGAAATCACCAACATTATCACTTATTTGTGCTTTTTTTAATTGTTTTTTTATTGAATTTTTTTTAATTAAATGTATATATTGCTATGAGAAGCATTAACAAAGAGCTGAATTTTAGAAGTGCTATTAGTCTTATAAAAATTTAGAGTTCGAAAATAGCTGTAATAATATATTATAAATACTATATTAAATATATATTACACCGCACTGTACCCTTTACGGAAAACCCATTATTATAAATGGCTACCATATTTCTTCTGACAACCGCTTCATGGGACTACTTTGGTTAAGCGGTACTGGAAGACGAGAAGACGACCTTGACATTGACTTTTATTTTATTTATTTTTCTTTGTTGTTCCTTGATTTTACTTGTCAAGTTCTCTATCATTGGAAATGAAAAAGAAAAGAAATACACATATAAACTTGCTTTTGATTTCGACTAGCTTAGGGCATTATAATGACAAGTTACACTTTTCCAAAGGTAAAATTTTTCCATCAAATTATTCCGTAGTTATTGTTTCTTGACCCGTGTTTTAATGTTTCTTGAATTTTTATTACACATAAATATCTTATAACATAAAATGCAAAAATGTTTTATTAACTTTATTGAATTTGTTGTGCTTTCCAACAAACAAATTGTACAATTTGTAAATGGTACAATTGTAAATGGTAAAATTGTAATTGGGGCATATTTCCCCAAGTCTTTTAATCATCAGTTCATTGGGATTTATCACAATTAATTCTTTCTTTTGACAAACACAATATAATGATTAACTATTGTGTTTTGTTTTAAAAGTATTAAATTAATTTCTTTAAACTAGATAATATTCTATTGTACAATATATGACTCAATAATTTTTTTTTAGGGTTATAGAGATAATCATCGTCCAGATGGTATTTCTGATGGAGAAGATGATGATGATATTATAATGGCATGCATAAATGCTGGAAAACCAAAAAGAAAAACTGAAAATAAAAGTATGAGAGAACAATCTTCTCAAAACCAAACTCCGATTATAAGTCCAAACAAACTAGTTTTGCAGCAGCAAAAGAGATGCATAAATAACAATATAAGTTTGGGCAGCATGCATCAATCTATGTCTTTTGCACCACCTAAAAGCAGATGGACGTCACCCATAGTTGTTCCTGATCATGGTTTAGTGACCCCTGTTGAAGAATCTCCATGTGTGTACAAGACAGAAGATACTCCTGTCCTCTCACCAACTGCTTCTATGAGTGATTTGAGCTGCCTTTCTTTTAGTGAAGACAAAAGTACTCACAGCAATTTGAACAATTCTCGTAATTCTGATATAAGTTCTGATACTGATGATGATGACGACGATGAATTATTGTTGCAATGTATTCAGTCTGGTATGCCTTCAGCTAAAAAGGCAATTGCTTAGGCTGAGGACACTCGGCAGCTCTAAAAAATTAAAAAGCAGCTTAGAATTCTGTGATATTACACCACTATTGGGGTTCCTACTAAATTAAGCGCTACAGAGTTGCCAGTTGATTTTTATAAGAATAATTATTGAAAAAACTCTTTTGCATAATTCATGCTAAGATAAAAAAAAAAAAAATACATATTAATTCATTTATGTATAGTGCTATACTTAATAGTGCAGTTAGCAATAATGGGTAACTCTGGTAGAGATACCACTAGCCACACTCTTTCAGTTTTGATAAATAACAATGGGAACAAAATTTGTCCAGATTCACATTATTTGCGCTCATTAGACATTGGTAGTAAGTTAAAGCACTGTAATTCATGTTCGCTTTAGATAGACGTGATAAATGTTAAATTTTTCTTCAAAATGTTTCTTTGCAGCATTACACTGACTTTTTATTTGACATTATTCGATTTTGCAGAAACTAGATTTTTTGTCTAGAGTGTTTAAATCTTATCAGCACCCTACTGATAAAATCCAAGATGTGATATCTCTACCATAAAATATGTTTATGCAGTTTTGAAATCCAGTATAGACGCTGCTTCTTTTTTATTAGGTGAATAATACACACAGAAGAACTTATTAAAGATATATTATGAAATGCATTTAGCTATGTTATGTACATTTTGCATTAAATATTAAAATGGAATAGACTGGGTCATGCGTCTTTTGTTGACGAAATTACCTTATTCAGGCATATTGGTGAGATTCACTAAGTACAAAGTGATGATTTTTGGCAATTCTTATCTGAAATAATGCTAGCTGTTCTATAAATTACTTGGCTTAACTTTAAATGTGATATAAGACAAGGTGCACTAAATTTTACTTAGCATCTCTTCCAGAATTACAATATTTAAGACTTTAACTTTGTTTTTGCACGCCAATTGAATTATTTGATCTTTTAATAACAACCAACAGGATTGAACTTACTGCATTGAAAGAAATGATAAAGCTAAATGTACATGATAAATGAAGCATTATCAAAAGTACTTACAGGGTTGTCTTTGCTCACCTTATTCATTCATAAATTTTTTTATAATCATGTATTTTTAATTGGCAAAAGCTGAAACCTTTTATTAATTATTACTTTGGATTTATTAAAATATTTTAACCACTTTGTGTGTTGATTTTTATATTTTAATTAATAGCAATCATTATGAATTTAATTATTTTCTCTCTTTATTTTAATTAATTTTAATGTAAATATTAGTTAAATATGTATATATATAATGGTATTGGTTACCATTAATTAACTCAACTAAACATATGATCAACACCAATAATAATTATATATATTCTTTAATAATAACAAAGTCACACAGACCCTTAGCCACACCGGATCGAACCACACAGGCTCGATGTTTCACACAGAAACAAACTTCAACTAACTAATAACATAGTCACACTCTTAATCACTAAGATTACCAGTATCACCTAGAAACAACTTCAACAGACTAACTCTTCAGTTACATCGAGAAAGTTTGTTGCATTTCGTTAAGGCGAGCAACATTGGGTTTGAATCCCACTTCTGACACCATATTGTAATGGTATTGGTTACCATTAATTAACTCAACTAAACATATGATCAACACCAATAATAATTATATATATTCTTTAATAATAACAAAGTCACACAGACCCTTAGCCACACCGGATCGAACCACACAGGNACTGTACATGATTATGTTACTTAGAATTTTCCTGTGTTAAAATTTTCTTCCTAACTCATTATGTTTAAATTCCCAATTTTCTTTTATTAAATGCTTTGAAATGAACTAGGAAAATAAATGATATATTTATATATATATATATATATATTACTTTTATAACTTTTTTTAATTTATCATTTTATGTTTATTCGGAAATAAAAGAAATTGGCTATTTAAATGTTAAGTATTTCCTGGAATTGGGAAGTGCATTCGATTCAAGTTGTTCGATTTGATAAATTGAAAATTTAAGTTTGAAGTTTTCATAAAATTAATAAATGAGTTGTACAGTTTTAATAAGATAATGATAATCTAAGTTAAAAAAAAAGTCTTTTTAAGAAAACTAACTGGAAAGAAAGTGTTGAAAGATTCAGAAAACCATGGCTTGAGGAAGTTGAATGAGACTGAAAAATGATGAAAGTTAAAAACTATAGAAAAAGTTGTGGAACGAAAACTTCGGTAATGTGTGGTGAGGGAGGCCAAGATCCTGTAGCGGTTGTAACGCCAAGGAATGAGGGAGTACAGTTTTAGTAGCAAATGAGGTAAAATCTGATTTATTACTCAAAACTTTAATAACATTACATATGAAAGATGACAAAATTCAACTGTGTTACAAATTAAGTCTGATGCAAAAGAAAAAAAAAATCCTTGGCAACCACATCACTCACAGATTGCATCAGCCGCCCCATTACACTGACACAATCACGTCAGGTAACTTCGTCAACATGATCATTTCGCTGATACTATTTTGCCTAGATGATCAATTAATTTTTTACTTATTTTTTCCGACAAACTTTCTTTATTAATTATTTAAGTTTTTATTTGGCAGTTAATATGTATTATTTTGTGGCAATCATAAATAAGCTCTTGAATAATTTACTTAAAAATTTGGTTATTGTTGGAACCTGGGGAACTAATTATTTCCTATCAGCACTATAGAGATGTCTTGAGCTGTGATGGCTCAGGGGATAGAGGTTTCGCCTTCCAATGAGGTGAACCGGGGTTCGATCCAGGCGATGGCTGGTTGAGACGAATTCCGCATCCGGCTTGCACCGACCACAGTGTTGACGAGAAATATCCTCAGTGGTAGACGGATCATGGGTTACAGTCCCCTTGACGTCAGGCTAACCGTGGGAGGTTCTCAGGGTCTTCCTCTCCGTGTAACGCAAATGAGGGTTAATTCCATAAAAAAGTCCTCCACGAAGGCAAATTTCTCCCAATACTTGATCCAGGAGTTCCCTTGTCTTCTGGATTGGGCTCAAAATTACAAGGCTACGGAGTTGAACATTAGTAGTCGTAAACCCAAAAATTGGGTTGGCTGTTCAACGACGGTTATAAAAATAGAGATGTCCTAATCCAAAGTTTAAAATGAAATACAAGGTGTGTGAAGTAATGAGAATGGCAACGTAACGTTTAATATTCCAATCTTGGATCCACCAAACTTGATGAGGTGGTAGGTGAACATGTGATAGATGTTTAGTGTCAACTTTTAGATATATGTAAATGTCTATAGTCATTTTTCTTGCAAAATCTGTTTTTGTAGAGCATTCCATTGTAAAAATTAGTGACATTAATAAGGAGCAACACATGGGTGCCATTCTTCAGTCCTGGGGACTGAAATCAGTCTTGAGAAAAAAATCAGTAGACTAAATTTCATCAATTATTATCTCTTTCCATTTGTTTTTTTTTTAAATTAAATTTCCTCTTTTCCTTAAAATGTAACATATTTTAATGACAACATTTTTATTTTTCATAATTATTGCCAAATGATCAAGTAATGATGTCACACAGCAATGAAAATTCACAAATAAGATAAAAAATTTCGCACCTACTTGTTTAAGCGAAATTCGTAAATTCGGGTAATGAATTATTTTAGAAACAATTGTGAGCCATTCAATTGGGGCTTTGGGTTCTTTTAAAACTGAAAGTCTTTTAATTTGTGGGGACAATCCTATAGATGAACTCTCAATAATATGCTCATTACTTATTTTTCGACCTAACTCTACCTTTTCGGTAAAATATGAGTACAGGTCTTAAGCTTGACGAGAAAATTGTAAATTTTGAAAATCATTAAAGCCACGTACAAGGTGAGGAAAAATAGTGCTCTTGAAAAATTTCGACTATTTTCTGAAAAGAATTACAATTTAAACAATTATTAATAATTAATTTCAAAGCTGAACCTTCTATGAATTTTTGAAAATTATTAAATTTTTATTTTTCATTTAATTTAGAATTTCTAGTTTGTTTTTCGAAATGTTTGAGCCAGGCTGGGAATTGAACACCAATATCGGGTTCAAAGTTTAATATATCTGGTTTATTTTGATTTATACTTAAATTTTGTGAACAAGCATTTAATTCATCTTCCAAATTATTTGTATTAGTCACTTACATTTTCTGATACTGGGGTTAAATCCGTATTAAATTTATAATTTTTGTAACTTAAGGGCATTCAAATATTAAAAATAAATTTCGACAATCAAATAATACATTTAGAAATAAAAATTCAAATATTTCATTGCTTATTTTTCTTAAGCCTAAGCACAATAAAACAAAAATCTAATTATTTTGCCCAAACAATCAATAAATTATAAATACTGTTATATGTAATGCAGTAAAAAGATAATTCCTTCAAATAATTTCGATACTAATATATATATATAAAATATGAAAACATTGAATTTAAATTTTTTTTTCTTTAAATAATATGGTAAACTATTGAATATTGAATATCAATAAATGGAAATATTATCAAATATAAATGCTAATAACACTGTAATAACCATATCATTTTATTTTAAATTATTCACAATATGAGCATGAATTCTCTTTTTTAAGTTTTAACTGTTGTAGAAAATTTCAATAGAGAATCAATAGTATTTCAGAATTAAATTAAAACACAATATTGAAGTAAATAAATCAATAAATAAATAAAACTCGCATTGTTAATTTGTTCATTCCATATTAAATTTATGAGATAGTTTAAGTACTAACCGATTCTCGTTGAATCGAAATTTATGTAAACCTATTTGGAATTTTGTTTATCTCTTTCTCAACACCGCTAGTTGAGAAAAACTTTATTAATGGATGATAAAATCCTTGAATCGTTTTGTTTAGCAAAACACATTTTCGATTGAAGAGACACGAGGAAAAGTCCCAGACGTATCGCGTGGTACAAACTTATCGGAAACTTTTGATCCATTTTGTTTTGTTTTCTTTTTTATTTCAGGATGTCATTTTCAGCACTTTAATTAGTCAACGAGTCTTCAGTATTTAATTCCAGCTGGATTCTCGCCACAATGAGATTTTTTTTCTCAATCGGCTGTCAAATTGAAAATCCACACTTCTTTTCTTTTTCAGTATTTATTAGGATATTTCATGTTTTTTTTTTATTATTAATTTTGAAATTCGCA